GTCGAGCCTCGTTGCGTGTGCACCCTCGTAGATCGCGTGAAGGGTTGCTGTTGGTGCAGAGCGCCTCTGGTCACCATGACGTCGGTTTTGATGTCGTCGGCGCTCTCGGAGGCGGTGGTCTCGTGGGTGGCGGCGAGGGCGGCGGTGGCGAGGGAGGCGGCGGCGATGGCGGGGGCGGGCTTGGGGGCGGAGGGCTGGGCGGTGGTGGTGATGGTGGCGGAGGGCTGGGCGGCGGCGGGGATGGTGGCGGAGGCGACGGCGGCGGCGGCGACGGCGGAGGCGGGCTTGGCGGGGGCGGGGAGGGCGGTGGTGGCGAGGGAGGTGGTGGCGATGGCGGCGGCGGTGATGGCGGCGGCCGCGACGGAGGGGGCGGTGAGGGCGGCGGCGGAGAGGGAGGCGGCGGCGATGGCGGAGGCGGCGAGGGAGGAGGGGGTGAGGGCGGGGGCGCGGCTTGGTGGCGGAGGGCTCGGCGGCGGAGGCGATGGAGGAGGCGGGGAAGGCGGAGGGGGCGACGGCGGCGGGGGCGATGGAGGGGGCGGCGAGGGCGGTGGCGGTGACGGGGGCGGCGGCGACGGCGGCGGTGGGGATGGCGGCGGGGGGGAAGGTGGCGGGGGCGAGGGCGGCGTGCTCGCGACGGCGGCGCCGAGTCGCCCCGAGCGGAGCACGGCCAAAGGTCTGAGACGCGGGGAGGGCGGGGCGGGAGGTCGTCGTGGGGGCGTGGAGGCGCGGAGGCGGCGTGCGGGGACGCGCGGAGGGCGGCGGTGGTGTGTGGGAAGTGGGCGAGGGAGAGCTGAGGCGGCCGGCGGTGGTGGCGGGAGCAGCGGAGGCGACGGCGTCGGAGGGGGTGGGGGGGAGGGAAACGGCGGCGGCTGTGGCGGAGACAGCGGCAGCGGCGGTGGCGAGGGCCTAGCCTGAGGGGGAGGGGGTGGGGGAGGGGATGAGGACGGTGAGGGCGGCTGGGGCGGCCGGGAAGGCAACACAGGCGAGGCGCGGCGCACCTCAAACTCGAGCGAGTAGCGGGAATATCACCCGCTGCTCCGGCGGGAGATTGCTCCCCCGCCGCCCCCTGGGTCACCCCGAGTGACCTCGCAGCCCACGCCGTGAGGCGCTGCTGTCAGAGGGGTTTATCACCGCCGTATCAACCCCACACTGGCCGCCGAGGGGCCCGGCGGGCTGAGGCGCGCGAGGCGGCTTTTGCTCCCGCGGGGCGGCTCTACCCGTCTCAGCACGGCGTCCCGAGGTGTAGCCGTGTACCTGGCGGCAGGGCCATCACTCACGCGCCTACTCGCGGCACGAGGGAAGGTGTGACGCGACCGCGAGAGGCGAGATGGGTGATGGCGAGACAGTCGTTTGGCCCGTTTGAGGCTGAAAGGATGACCGCGGACGATGAGGGCGACGATTCATCGCGGCTACTGAGCAGGCAAGGTCCGGACCTACAGGATGGAGGGGCGAGTAGTGAGACTCGGGACCATATCTTCGCGTCGAGAGACGAAAATCCGGATTGTTGGCGCCAGCCGCCGCCGGCCGCCGAACGTCACTTAAGGGAACTGCGCGACGACGACGACATTTCTGAGGTGGAGCGTTCACCACCGCCCTTCCCATGGTGTTTGCCGGTCGGGGGGGCGTCGGCAGCACCGCCGTTCCGCGCGGATGTTGCAAACGGTGGCTCGGGGCACCTATCTCGGCAGCCCCGGGGCGGGAGCCGAGGAGGGGCAGCCGTTGCGGTGGCGCCATCGCAGCTCGGCGGCGCGTGGGGAGCCGAGCGGCTCCCAGCGATCCCGCGAGAGAAGGGCCCGCATCCGTCCCGGATGCCGCGCCCACGCTGCCCGACGCAAGCGCCAGATGGGAGAGGAGGTTGGCAGCCTTTCTGCGCTTCGAGGTGCAAGAGAGAACTTGTCGCCCTTTGTATTTAGCGGGAGGAAGCCAGGTGGGGTTTAGCCCATTCTGCCCTCGATTGTGTGTGTCACGCGCCTCCTCCTAGTTCGGTTCTGCCGAACTGCGGTCGTATCGTAGCTCTCTTTCTGCTCTTGTTTGTACTTGGCCTATACTCTCGGCCTCCTCCGCGCGCCGCCGGGCGCGAGTGGGAGCCCTCGTGCTCCCGCAATCAAAGTAGCCGGGAAAGACCCCATCAACAGGGGCCAAAACCCACTCATCACGGGCAGGCGTTGCTTCGGTGCCCACCGCCGCGACGCCGCACCGGAGCAGAAGCACCGGAGCAGAAGCCATGCCCTCCGAGCCCTCCGAGAGAGAGCTGCAGGCCTTCTGCTTCACCGTGCTGCAGCGGCAGCCGCCAGCGAGGCGCGTCGACCTGCTCTCCGTCGCCTCGCAGCCGTGGGCGGCGGCGCTGCGCCAGCTGCAGCGGGTGGCGGCGGCAGCCGCCCACCGCGGCATCTTCTTCAGCGTCGACGAGGCGTCTGGCGCACGCGCGAGTGGGCTACGGAGCAAAACGCGGCCGGAGGGCAGCAGGCTCCCGCAGCTCGCGACTACATTTGTGCACCCATCGATGGGTTCCGCCGGGCTGGTCGACCGCTGGCCCGACTCGGCGGGCGAGGCGGCGCAGCGCGCGGCCGAGGCGCGGCTCCTCTCCACGATCCGGCTCAGCGACGGCGTCGTCGTCCTCACCGAGGAGTCTGTCTCCTCGGACGCGGCGCTGCGGGCGACGTGGCAGGCGCTGCTGCTCCTCTCGCACTCGCGGTTCGCCTCTGCGCCCTCGAAGTGGTCCATCGGACCCGCCGCGGCGGCGGCCGCGGCGCTGCCGCTCGCCCGCTGGTTCGAGAAGGCCGGCTGGTTCTCGCTCGGCGCGTGGGTTGCCTCGCGGCTGGACGTCGCCCTCACGAGGTTATGCCTCCGGGACGCCTCTGGGCCCTCTGCCACTCCTCCGCCACTCCTCCACGGCCAGTCTGCGCCCTCCCTCCCTCCCTCTCACGCCCTCCCTCGCCTCCTCCGCCAGCGGCATCCTCACCCTCCACGCGGGAGGTGCGCCTGCCGGGACAGGGGCCGCCGGGACAGAGAGAGTCCCGACATCGAGCCGAGATGCAGCCGAGATGCAGCCGAGGTGCAGCCGAGATGCAGCCGAGATGCAGCCGAGGTGCAGCCGAGGTGCAGCCGAGGTGCAGCCGAGATGCAGCCGAGGTGCAGCCGAGGTGCAGCCGAGATGCAGCCGAGATGCAGCCGAGATGCAGCCGAGGTGCAGCCGAGATGTAGCCAGGCTGTCCGGCGGTAGGCGCGCCCGCCCGCGCGCCGCGGCCGCGGCCCGACTGGTGGAAGGCGGTGCCGTGGCGGCGGAGGCTGCAGGCGCTGCGCGTTGCCGCCGCCGCGCTCCGCGAGGCGCTCGGCCAGCGGGAGCGCGTGCGCTCGGTGATGCGAGCTAGCCAGGGCGGAGGCGGTAACGCCGGAGGCGGCGGCGGCGGAGGCGGCAACGGCGGCGGCGGCAACGGCGGCGGCGGCCTTCCACCCTCGCTCGACAGCCTCCGCGAGCTGGCCTGCGCCCTCGGCGCCACAGGCGACGGCGCCCCGTCCGAGGGGGCCGCGGCCAGCGAGCGCCGCGGCGGGATCCTCCGCGCCCTCGCTTTGGGTCTGCACGGCGGCGGCGCGCGGTTCCTGGCGGAGGTGTACGAGCGGCCGCTGTGGCTGGTCGCGACGCCGAGCGACAAGGCGCTCACGAGGCTCGGCCGCACACTGCTCGCGTGGCACGCAGACTCGGTGGGGGAGGCGCTCGTGCGCGAGGAGGCGGCGGCGGCGGAGGCGGTGGCAGCGGCTGCGGCGGCGGAGGCCGCAGCGGCGGCGGAGGCGGCGGAGGTGGCGCGGCGGGGGGAGGGGCAGCGCAGCTCTGAGCGGGCCGTGGCCGCGGGAGCGAGCGACGAGAGCGACGAGGTGGGAAGCGCTGCGAGCGAGGCTGCAAGTGAGGAGTTGAGCTGCGGCGACGAGGCGGAGGGGGAGGCTTGCGCGGCGGCACCGGAGGGGGGTGGCGCAGAGTCAGACACGGGAGGCAGGGCGTGGTCTCCGCGCGAGACGAGCGGCGTGTCGGCGGGCGCAGGGGCGGAGGCGGAGGAGGAGGAGGCGGGAGGGGCGGCGGACGCGGCGGAGGAGAGGTGGGAGGAGGACGATTTGCCCCCTCCGCTGCCGCCGCCGCGCCAACGGCCGGCGCCCCACCGGGCAGAGGCGCTGCATGCCCCTCCTCCGCTCGCCCTCGACTCGCTCAGCCTGCAGCTGCGGACGCTGCTGGAGGCGCAGTCTCCAGCCCCATCAACGGCTGCGCCGCCGCCGCCGCCGCCGCCGCCGCCGCCGCCCGACCCGATCCTGGCGCCACCCGAGGGGGGCGTCACGGCAGGGAGCATCGGCAGCGGCGAGCCGTCGCCGCCGCTGCTGCGCGCGTATTCCGAGGGGACCGGAGGCGGCACGGGTTGCCGCGCGGCGCGCGACGGCGAGCTGGGCAGCCGTCAGCGGCTGCGGTACGCAGACGTGCTCACCACGCCGCGTCGGAGGATGGCCGGAGCCCCGGCTGCGCGTCGGCCGCGCGCCGCTGCATTGGACGAGAGCCCGCTGAGCGACGACGGCTGCTGCAGCTGCCGGCCGCGGGTGGCGGCGGAGAGGGCAGGGCCGTGCGACGGGGGGCGGGCCGCCCTGTCGGCGCGCGGCGAGGAGACCGATTGCGCGGCCCAGTACGACAGCGGAGGCGGCGGCTCCGCCGTCCGGCACCGCGAGGCGCGGGTCACGGCCTGACGAGCGCTCCACCGAGACGGACCGAGATGGACCGAGGTTGACCGAGGTTAGGCGCGGCCGCGGTCGGCCGAGCGCTCCGCCTGCCGCCGGGACGCCAAGCAAGGCGCGAGCCCGTGCGGCCTCGCCTCGATTGGCTCGCCACCCGCCCAGAGCAGCCCCGGCGGCGTCGCCGGCGGCTCCGGCCGCGGGCGTGCTCCCGCGCTGTCGCCGTCGGGCGTCACGGGCGCGAGGCAGGGGCACTCAGATGCGGAGGACACGTCCTTTCCGTCTGGCGAGCACCCTGGAAGCCACACCGTACTCGACTGCACTCCACTCTACTCAAGCCGGGTGCCCATGCAACATGTACATGTACTCCACTGCACTCAGCTGCACTCGATTCGTATGCACTACCCTCGCGAGGCCTCGTGGTAGCCTGCTCTCGCACCTGCTCGCGTAGGCAGGGGCACCCCTCGCCGGCGGCCACCACCAGCTCGCTGCCGTCGCCACTCCGCCTCCCCCTCTCGCTGGCGTCGGAGGCCCTCCCGCCCTCGCTGGCGGCGGAGCCGCTCGCCCCGCGCTGCCTTGCCCGGCACGACGCCACGACGCAGACCGAGTCGCCGCTGCCGGGCGGCTGCGGCGAGCCGGACACGGACGGCCGAGCGGCGGCGGCGAGGCGAGTGGCGGAGGCGACGGCGGCGGCGCACGCTTGCTGCCGCACTTGCTCGTGCGGCGGGCCCGCGTCGAGCGCGGCGTCTGCTCATTTTGGCGCCGCTGGAGGCGTGGAGGTGGGCAGTGCCGCCACCGGCTGCAGTCAGCTTGGGGGAGGCGCCGCCGCCGCCGCTGCCGCCGCGGCGGCGGCGGCCGCCGCCGAGAACGCGACGCTGCGTGCGGCGGTGGCGAGGCTCGAGGCGGAGGTGGTCTCTCTATCCGGCACGCTCGGTGGGCAGCTGCCCCTGCTCGGCACCTGCGCCGGCGGGCTGGCTGGTGGCCTTTCGCCGGCGTGCAGCTGGAAGGGCGCGAGCGTCCCCTCCTCCGCCGTCGCCGCGAGCGTCCCGCCCGCGCTCGCCCCCCCGGCGTCGTGTCAGCTCTCGCTCGCGGCGGCGCGCCTCTCCGCCACCGCGGCGCACATCGCTCAGCTCGCCGCCACCGCCGCCGCCGCGCCGCTCGACGCCTTCTACGCCGCGCTCTCGGACGACATCGCCGCCTTCGAGGCGCACTGCTCGCAGGAGCGGCTGCGGCACGAGACGGCGCATGTGGCCGCCATCGCAAAGGTGCGTTCGGCGGTCAACTTGCTCTGGCCGCGGGCGCAGGTGCGGCCCTTTGGCTCGTACGCCACCGGCCTGATGCGGCCCGGCTCCGACATCGACCTCGTCGTCTCGCTCCCGCAAGTGCGGACGACCAAGGCGATGCCGGACGCGCCTGGCGCCCTCGAGGGGCGCAACGCAATCCCCAAGGACACGTGGCACGCGTCGCTCGCGCGCTGCCTGCTCCACCAGGCGTGGGTCATCGCCGACACCGTGCGCGTCGTCCCGGCAAAGGTGCCGATCGTCTCGTTCGCCACGCGCTACACGGTCGGCGGCGGCGCGCCCTTGCGGCTCGACGTCTCCTTCGAGTCGGCGCTACACCTCGGCCTCTACACCAACGACTTTGTCCACGCGGCGCTGCGCGAGCACCCGCCGCTCCGGCCGCTGCTCCTCGTGCTCAAGCACTTCCTCGCGCGACGCTCCCTCGACAAGCCCTACCTCGGCGGCCTCTCCGCCTACGGCCTCCTCCTCCTCGTGCTGCGCTTTCTGCAGGCGCTCGACGCGGCGCCGCCCGAGGGGGGCGCGCTGCGCTCGCTGGGCGGCATCTTTGCGCGCCTGCTCCACTTTTACGGCACCGTCTTTGACCCCACCGTCACCGGAGTGGCGGTCTCGTGCAACGGGCGGCTGGGCGAGCCTGCGACCCGTGGCCGCTCAGCTCGTCGAGTGGGTTAGCTCACAGGGCGGGCGCCGACTGAGTAGGCGAGTTTGTGGCGCGCAACCGCGGCGGCGCGCCCAGCCCGTGGCCGGTCCCGCAGGCGGCGCATTCCCCCGCAAACCCGCGCGCGCAGCCCCCGCCGCTCTCGTCGCTCGTAGCGGCGTCACCGACGCTCAGCACGACAACAATCGGCACGGCAGCGGCCGCCGTCCCCGCTGTCCCTCCCGCGGCGGGCGACCCTCCCGCCCCTATGCCCGCCCCTCTGCTCTCCAGCTCGCCCCTCGGCCCCAAGAGGGAGGGGGGCGCGGCCGAGGCGCAGGCCGGTCCGACGGCGGGCGGCGCAGAGACGCCCGCGCGGCCGCCGAGCAGCGCGGGCGTCGGCGGCGGCGGCGGAGGAGGAGGAGGAGGAGGAGGGGGAGCGCGGCGGCGGCCCGCCTCGGAGGCGGGCGACTGGAGCCCTGCCCTGGACCTGCTGGAGATGGGCGGGTCGCAGCGGCCCCGACCGGCGGAGGTCGGCTGTGGCGTTGGGCTCACGCGCACCGGGTCGGGGCTCGGGCTCGGCGTCCCGATCCCATGGGGCGGCGGTCACGGGAGTGCCGGCCGGCCGCGGCCGAGCAGCGGCGGCGCGTCGCGCACCTTTGACCAGAAGTTCTGGTTCGATCCGCTCTACATTGAGGACCCGCTGCGCGAGGACAACAACGTGGGCCGCAACTGCTTCCGCGTGCGCATCATCCAGCAGGAGCTCGCGCGCGCCGCCAACGTCGTCGCGCAGCTCTCGGCCACAGTGGGCACGGTCGGGGGAGTGGTGAGGAGGGGGTGGGCCGACGTTGCCGCTGAGTCCACGGGCGAAGTCCCCCATGGAGGCAGTGCTCCGGCAGGGTACGCGCTCGAGCAGACCTTCCCGCTGCTCTCGCAGGTCTTTAGCACCCACCAGCAGCCGCCGGCCGTGAGTACGTAGTCCTAGTGATCTGTGATCTGTGAGGGTCCGCCCGCAGGCGCATTTTGTATACCGAGGCGGTGCCCAGTCGTAGAGATCGGCAGGTTGTCTACTGTAAAGAAAAGAAAGAAAACGGAAAACCCAAGGGAGTTGTCTGGGAGCTGGGATTTCTCTACTAAGAAAGAAAGAAAACAGACAACCCAAGGGAGGGATGGGAGGACGGCACGCCGCCACCACACAGGGATTTTAAGGAGAGGTGTGTGGTGCGCTATCCGTCGCCCACCCTAGGGAGTCTGGGATTTCTCTACTGCAATAGAGAAAGCCGACGTTTTCTTCATTCTTGCCTGGCGTGCCCAGATGTCGGAGCTTGCTGCCGCAAGCTCCAGCTCCAGCGCGGTCGTGCCAGCGCAAGCGGTGCCGACCATCAATCGGCCGCTGCCGCCCGTCCCTCCGGAGGCCAGAAGGCTCGTCGAAGGCAAGGAGCCGATCTCCATCTTGCTCTTTTACCAGTACGTCGAGCCGCCGTGGACCGACAAGGAGTGCTCCTCCGCGCTGAAGCACTTTCTGGCCTTGGGCAAGGAGCACTCGATCTGCGGCCGCGGCCGCTGCGCCAAGGAGGGCCTCAACTGCACGCTCACCGGCAACGCCGCCGGCCTGCGCGCCTTTTGCGAGGCGCTGCGCGCATGGAAGCCGGAGCTCTTCAACCAGACTGACTTCAAGTTCACAGACGGCCTGCCCGCGTCGCGCCGCTTCAAGGCGCTCACCGTCCGCAAGACGGACGAGCTCGTCGCGTACGGTCTCGCCGGCGAGCGCGCTCCGGCGCTCGCCGCGTCATCCGCCAAGCACGTCGAGGCGACCGAGTACCACGAGCTGCTCAAGCAGGTAGCAGTAGCGGTAGCAGTAGTAGCAGCAGTACCACGAGCTGCTCAAGCAGGTGGCCAGCGGTAGCAGTAGTAGTAGCAGTAGGGCCACGAGCTCAACACCGCTTGCCTCTCCCGCGAGCGCGCTTCTCCCTCAACCTCTCTCCCCATGCCCCCCAGCCCGACGCGGTCGTGATCGACGTGCGGAACGCGTACGAGTCGGCGATAGGCCACTTTGCGCCTCCAGAGGGCGGGGCGACGCTGCTTGACCCAAAGATGCGCAACAGCCGCGAGTTTCCAAAGTGGCTCGCGGACGAGAAGACCAAGGAGGCGCTCTCGGGCAAGAAGGTGCTCATGTACTGCACCGGCGGCATCCGGTGCGAGCGCGCCACCGCCCTGCTCGACGAGATGGTCAAGGCGGACCCGACCTTCCGGATCAGCGACATCACGATGGTGCGCGGCGGCGTAGAGCGGTACATGCGCACCTTCCCCGAGGGCGGCTTCTGGAAGGGCAAGAACTACCTCTTCGACCGGCGGCTCGAACAGGTGCCGGAGGCAAAGTCGTCCGCGGCGCTGGAGGGCGACGTCGAGTCTTGGTGCGCCGTGTGCGCGGCGCCATGGGCGGCGTACCGCGGGCAGTTCAAGTGCGCGGGGAGGCTGCCTCCGCCCGCCGGTGTGTGCGCAGTGCCGGTCATCGTGAGCAGCCCTAGATACGGAGCACGGTTCTTTGTATTCCCCCGCACTCGAGAGGACACGGCCTCGACTGCACTCAGCTGTACTCGGATGGAGTCAGCTGTGATCGACTTGTTCACTGTATTCGAGTGCCCTCTCTCTGTATGTTCGCCCCGACTCTGGTGGATTCATGTCGCAGGTGTGCAACCGCTGCAGCGACGCCGCCACCGCCGACCCGGCCAGCCTGCGCTGCCCGCTCTGCCAGGAAGGCTACGTCGCCCCCCAGGCGATGCCAGAGGTTGTGATGGCCGACAAGCGCGCGCCCGACCAGCGCCTCGGCGGCGGGTCGGACGCCACGGGCGCCGCCGGCGGAGGGCGCGCGCAGACGAAGCTAGCAGCCTTGCCAAAAGGGATGCCACGACATGTCGATGTCCCCGACGACACCCAATAGGCGCGCCAAGAAGCAGAGACCGCTCGCCGAGCCGTCCTCGCGCGTCTTCGTCGGATCGCTGCCGTTCGTCGTCGACGCGACCGCCGTCCGCGACGCGCTCGCCGCGGCGGCCGGCGCCGCGGCGGGCAGCTGTGCCGAGGTGGAGTGGTTGCGCGACCGGGAGAGCGGACTCTTCTACGGCTCCGCCTTTGTGCAGATGGGTTCGGTCGAGGCGGCGACGACAGCCGTTGGTCGATCCCGAGACTGCCGAGGCGAGCCGCGAGATCACCCGAGAGGTCACCCTCGATCGGCCGAGATTAGGCGCCGCGCGCGAGGGGCGCCTCCGGATCGGCAAGCGGAAGCTGCGCCTCAATTTTGCGCCGCTCAAGCCGGGGGAGGAGTGGCCCGCCGTCGGGTTCGTGCAGCGCGAGCGGCCGCTCTCCGGCTAGCTCTATCGGCTGAGGCGCTACCCCCGCCCCAGACACCCCCCCTTCCCTCTCCCGCGCCCCTGGCCCGCACCCGGTTCGAACCCCGTTGAGATGACGACACCCGGCCCCGCGGGTTTGCCCCCGCTGCCGATGGCACCGGCGCGCGTCGACGGAGTCAAATGCGGCGCGTGCCGGCGGATTGCATTGCCTGCGAGGAAAGGGCCCCTTGACTGATCCATGTGTTCGACCACGCGCGCGAGGGAGATATTGCGAGAGAGCCGGTGTCGCCGCTCATACCAACCCCGTTCGCCCCGTCAGGCGCATGGCCGCTGCATCTCGGCGGGACCTTCCTAGAAGTCCCCTCCTCGCCATCGATACGCGACTGGAGACTTCTCGAGCCCCTTTAGTGAACATTAGGGAGCGTACTCGCTACGGCTCTAAGTTTGTGGGTGCCGATCTCGGTAAAATAAAATATCTTTACTTCCAACACCCGGACGTTCCCAGGGTGATATGGAACTTGGAAGGTCGTTCGACGCACCCCCGGACTGGACAGCCCAGCGTCTTTACCCTGGGATCTCTCTGCCGATCTCGGTAAATTAAGTGCATGATTAAGTGCCAAGTGCGCGCTGGCCGCTGGTAGGAGTGTGACGCCTCCCGTCTCCAGCGCGGCTCTCCCACGCCGCCACGCAGAGCCCACACGCCACAGACGACGCACAGAGCCCTCCTCGCCGTCGGCGCACAGAGGCGCGTGCATAGTGGTTTCTGGTTAGGTGGTTAGTGCCCACCTAGGTTATCACGCGTCACGCGGGGTGGACCTCAGGTGTGAGATACACGAGATCGATCGCGATCGTCCCGAACACTCTGCTTCCCTCTCGCGCCTCTCTGGTAGTGGTGATCTGTGATCTGTGAGGGTCCGCCCGCAGGCGCATTTTGTATACCGAGGCGGTGCCCGGTGCCGAACCTGTCGGACCTTAAGACAGCGTTGTAGATCCCTGGGCGAGGGTGGTGGAGGTACTTTATTGGGACCCGGCGCATGTACATGCCCAGTGCGGTCGTGTGGTCCACTGAGCACTGTGCAGTGACCAGAGGGCGAGACGATCGAGGGGTCCCGTACCATGCGGAATCGACCCTATCCAGTGCTCAAGTGCTCAAGTGACCAGAGTGATGAGTGTGCACTGCAGAGTCCAGACACGAGACAGAGAGACTAGATCGAGATCGAGACCACAGCATGGCCATGGGCCCCCAACAGCAGTACAGGCTACACCTACATACAGCCAGCGCGGGTGAAAGTCTGTCACTCAAGAATCTGGTGCACCGGCGGCGGCCCGCCCCGGTGCACATGGGCGACGGGGAGAGCCCCCTTGTCGCCCTCGCTCGCTCGATTGCCGCTCGGGCAACTATTTTTCTTTTGGGCATCGAGGACGTGTTCGAGAATTGCCGAGAAGCGCGCAAGTTGAGCGGACCGGACGCACGACCGCGGCGCGACACCCAGCGTTTTCTTTTGCGCACTTTTAGTCCATCCACGATATCGAGATGTCGCGCGCCGCTGCTCCCGAGGGCCTATCGGCATATTCAACAAAAATTAACGGTGTAGGTTGTGTAAGTAGGGCCTGTGAATGGCAAGCCGGGGCTCCCAAATGGACTCAACAAAGCCCCTTCGGTTCCGCTAGGTTCCGCTCGCCCGGTCCTTGAAGATATTGGAGCTGGGGACCACATGGGAATCTGGGAGCATCTTGGGAGCAGACGCAACGAGATGACCATGAAGTTGTGCGCTTCAAAATCAGATGCCAGGTGTAACTTGTCCATCCCAGATGCAGCGGTGCCCACGAGACGTCGCCAACCCGTCAGCCGGGCCGGCAAATGGGAACCTCTCACCAGGGGCGAGAGACGCTCACCATCACCGTGCTTGCCACCGGACAGAATCTACGCTCATTACCGATAGCCTTCCCGTTCAGATTCTAGGAAGGCTTCCCGTGTAGCATTTGTGATAGTAGTGTAAGCTTGCGAACGAAGGCCCGCCCGCATGCATTTCTGCGTTTACCGTACCCGGTACTCTCCTAAGCTGTGAATCAGACGCACCCTAACGCACTGGGTTCCGGCTCCTACCCAGATAGGGGGTCTGTTCCCTATGACTCGCACAAACGCCCTACCTACCTACCTACCCCCAGCCAGGCCGCGCAGCGTCCAGCGAAGCGAAAAAAGACGAAAATAGGGGGTACCTACCTATTGCGGGGCCCTCTGGGGCGGTCAAAACCGGACCTACCTACCTTTTGCATGGGGTCTAACCGTAGGCCAGACCCCCTATCTGGGTAGGAGCCGGAACCCTGGGTGGACATCGCGAGAAAAAGAATTTTACAACAAAACTCCCTCGCACAACACTGGGCACGGGACTGGCGCGCACTGGCACTAACACAGGTACACCACGGGAGCCGCCTAAGCAACTCCTGCGAGGGTGGCGAGGCACTTAGCTCCGTGCACCCGCCCACCCCCGCCAGAGGCAAGCTCATTCACAACCTGCTCTGCGATTGCCGTGTGAAGAACGACTGAGATACGCTGCTTTTGCAGCCCCAGCCAATTCTTAGTGGTCCAAGTCACCTCATCGAGGTACTGGGCCCGCGTCAGCTTGTTCTGTAGCACGTCCGCCGCCTTCCGGAGGATCTCACGGACCCCCTTTCCGAACCCGCCGAACGATTCGAACAGCAGCAGCTGCACTTCAACGCCCTTGTCTCGCAACGGGGCGACGGCATGCACCGAGCTGTTCATCCAGGCGATCGCATCTTGCCGCACGGCGGCCAATGCGAGCTCGTGAAGCAGGCAAGTGCCGCGCCGTGTGAGCTCGGTCGCAGCTTTGGGTGCGACCCTGCGCGCGCGGCAGCATGTGGGTCACAAACTGCCGGGGCGTGTTTCGCTGCAGGCGCAGCACGGTGCCCTGTGGGTACCCACCCGGCCGTCCCTCATACACTGCTCCTGCGGTGTCTTGGGTTTAGCTGACCACATCAAGCAACCCCCGTCACTGCAACCCCCGTCACGAGCAATTCAACCGGCCACGTGCGTCCGGCCTCCGCTTTCCGCCGACCACGCACCCAGGGCCTGCTCCCCGACAAGCTGCGCAGCGCGCTTCTACCGATGCCGCAGAGTGGCACTCAAGGCACAGCCGACGGCTGCCGGGCTCATCCACATTCCAAAGAGCGGCGGTACGGCGCTTAAAACGCATTCGTGCTCGCGCCTGTGGATCGGGCCAAAGCACGGGGAGACGGAGAGCTCGTGGATTCGCGAGTACTGCGTGAACGTGACGCTGGTTGTCATGCGTGAACCCACCGAACGCTTCATCTCTGCCTTTGAGTACGCTCTGCGCGGGACGGCCCTGTTCCCAGCGAAAAAGCAGTCGATGAACGAGATCGCGCGCATGTTTCGTCACGCGGGTGAGCTCGTCGACGCGCTGCGCGCAAGGCCTCGCCTCGTCCTCTTCGGCAACATCCCCGTCGACGCAGCATCAAGTGAGCTGTTTGGCGTCGGATTGCAGGGCTCTCGGTACGTGCTTGGTGACAGCAAGCCTACCGTCGGCGCGCGGCCGCCCGCAGGAACGGTGAAGACTACGGCGGCTCCCTCACCGCCCGAGGCGCTTTCGGTCGCCGCGTGGGACCTGCTCATTCACCGCGAGGCGGGCATACAGTTCCGCGCCGCCAACTGGTGGCTCGATCCCGACCTCGCCGGGAGCCGAGCCATCGTGTGCTACAACTCGACACCCGCGGTCCTCTCGCGCCGGGTCGAGGAGGCACTCAAGCGGAAGGGCATCAACTGCTCCTTCGCAAACATTCCACAGAGAAACTCGGCGCCATCTACGAAGCCCGGCGGGTCTGACGCGAAAACTCTGACACCGGACCAAGCCAAGTGGGTGCGCGAGCAACTCTATGGGCAAGACTGGGCACTCTGGCGATCGCAATGCGGCGTCGGCGCGCCCGAGCCATTGCCTTACTGCCCTCGTGGGGCAGCAACTGGGAGCGGTGCTAGAGGCGTTCGCGGTGGGGGGAAGAAAGGGCAGAACCAGGTCGTGGGCCGCGGGACAAGAACCACGTCCTCGCCACCCCTTGCGGCGCGCCGGCGCCGGCGATATACCGACGGCGAGGGGCAGCTTCCCAACCGTGAACGGTAGTACCACGGTCAGGATGTACACTAGTGGGCACGGTTAGCTTTTGTACATGAATGTAAATACACACACACAGATATCACATAGGTTCAGAGTATGTCGCTGCCCTTGCTGGGGTTGCTTGCCGCCGCTGCCGCCGCCGCCGCCGCGCCTCCGCCTGGCCGAGTAGTTGTGGAAGGATAACTTCTCGCAGCTGCGAGACGAGTTTTCTCGGAGCGACAGCCTCAAAGAAAAAGGGTGGATGGGTGGGGGGACGATTGCTGGCGAGCGCCAGCGCGCCCCAAGAACGGTGGGGTGCCCTCGACCGCGCGTCCAAGTCACTTGGGCGGACGAGCGAGCGGCACATGGCCTGACATCAAAGAGAAATCGGAGACTGGCGACGAGATCGAAATCTGGTTGGCGACAAATAAGCTCCTCTGAAAGGTGGGCACTTCAGAGGCAGAGCTGACGTCAGCCTGTGCGCGTCGCCAGTACCTTCTCTCTCTCCTCGTCGAACTAGGGAAGCGAGAAGGGAGGATTGAGGCGCACTCAGAGTCGTCCTCCGCGCCTCCTCGGAGGCCACGATGTCCGACTCTTTCGACGCCGAGGTGGACCCGACAGGATCTACCATGCTTCTGCTCATGCCCGAGAGCTCCCCGCTGCTGGAAGCCACTGAGTTCTTGGGGTGGGTTGCGGCTTTCGATGGGGCGTCGCGCCGTTTCCCGGCCCGTTGCCGCCGCCGGGCGAGGTGTGGCGGCCCGAGCTGGTTGGCAAGGTGAAGCGCGCGCTGCAGCGGCTGGAGCTGACGCAGAAGCAGCTCTGCGCGCAGCTGCAGCTCTCGATGGTGAACTTCTAGGAACCTTCTAGGAACCTTCGAGGAACCTTCTAGGCGCGCAGCTGCAGCTCTCGATGGTGAACTTCTAGGAACCTTCTAGGAACCTTCGAGGAACCTTCTAGGCGCGCAGCTGCAGCTCTCGATGGTGAACTTCTAGGAACCTTCGAGGAACCTTCGAGGAACCTTCTAGGCGCGCAGCTGCAGCTCTCGATGGTGAACTTCTAGGAACCTTCGAGGAACCTTCGAGGAACCTTCTAGGCGCGCAGCTGCAGCTCTCGATGGTCAACTTCTCCAACTGGCTGGGGCAGAAGCCGTTCGTCGCGAGCCGCGAGCCGCTGTACACGTCGGCGCTCCAGCTCTGGCTCAGGGACCCCTCCTTCACCATCACCGTTTCACCGACCCCTCCGTCACAAACACGCCCGCGCACCTAGTGCCGTCCGGCGAGCCGGCGGCGCTCGGCCGGCCGCCGAGGGCCGGGGTTGGGCGGGGGAGGGGGTCGCACCTCAAGGGGCCGAGAGTGACGGAGGCCGAGGGACGACACGGCGCTCCTCCACGCGCTGCGCGAGGCGGCGGCGCGGCTCACGCCGCCGTGCGACGACGACGAAGCCGGCGGCGCGGCAGAAGGCCTCGCCGCCGCGGCCGCGCGTGTCTCGACGCCGGATGCGGTTCCTCGCCTGCTGGGGCTGCGCGCGCTCGACGAGGCGATGGCGGACGGCGACGGCGCGGACGCGCTCCCGCCCCTCCCCGCCTGGCCCGACGCGCCCCGCTGGTGGGACACCCTCTGCGACCGCCGCCTCCTGCTCGGCCTGGCGCGGCACGGCTTTGGGCGGTGGGGCGACCTCCGCGCAGACGCGTCGCTCGAGTGGCCAGCCGCCGCCTCGCCGGCCGCCGCCTCGCCGGCCGCCGCCTCGCCGGCCGCCGCCTCGCTGGCCGCGCACGCGGCGGAGGCGCACGCGGCGGAGGCCGGCGAGGAGCCGCTGGCCGCCGACGGCGCGGCTTCCCTCTCGTGGCCTTCCGACGAGGGGCTGCGGGTCCGCGCTCAGCTTGTTGCTCGAAGGCGTGCGCGAGCAGCGGCGGCAGAGCCGCGCCGGGGCGGGCGCGGACGCGTCGGGCCCGGCCGAGGAGGAGGAGGAGGAGGAGGAGGAGGAGGACGAGGTGGGAGGTGATGGAGGTGGACGGCTCCGCGCCCGAGTCGTAGGGGAACTGGGGAAGGCGGGGGCATGTTGAGAGGGCGGTTTGCACGCACAATCACAGCGCCACCTGTGTGTGACCGAGGAGCGTTTGCTCTCGGTGGTGGTGGAGAGGGTATGTTCGAGATCACAGATCAGAAGGAACCAATAAAATGTCCGTCCGGTCGCCCCCCCACGCACATTTCAATGTTCAGCGCTCACTCAAGGATTGGCCCAGTGCCGACGAGCGTATTTCGTCAGCGGCACCGGACCAAGGCATATGCAGGGATGGTCGGGTGATCGATCTGCAAATACATCTGCGCGCCTTGCTTGGTTGTGCTCGCGTTGCACTAGCATTCGTCCTGGCTACGTCCACGTTAACGGCTCATGGTTCCATTGCACTTTCCGATTAGTTGCGGTAGCGCTACGGTCCGCGTGGGTGGGAAGAAGGGTGTGGCCACTGACGGCATTTTTCGGCACCCTGATTGATGACCCTGCAGTGGATCATTCGCCCTTGCTGTAGTAGTACGGCGAGCATGGTTTGTCTTTGTTGTTAGGCGCACGGCCGGGGGAGCACGGCATGCTCAGCTCCATGATCTCCTGGTTCGAGTATCCGTACGTGCCTCCGTGGTCGGTGGGGAACAGGTTGCGGAACGGGAGCCCGCCAAGGGCGATGTCAGTGAGGAGAGTCCCTGGGACCCACGGGAGATTTGGATTGGCCCGATTGCCGCGGTCGAAGAAGTCTTGCGGGGCGTACTTCGAAAGGTACATGAAAGGGCCCGACGTGGAGTACGTCCTGGCGCCTTGCGTCAGCCCGTGGGCCAGGAATCCGGGCTGCGGGGACGGGAAGGTTGGCTGGACGCAGTTCGACGAGAAAAGGGGGTTGACGCGGGCTTTCTCGTCTTTCGCATTCGTAAACAGCTCGGCATCGTTTCTTTCACCCCACACATTGGTGAGGCTGGAGCAGGCGGGCCCAAGAAGGTCTTCAGTAACAATTTCGGCATTGCACACCTTGAGGTCGTTGGGGTCGGCGCCGGCGAGGACCTTGTAGATCGCTTTCGCGTCTGTGTCCTTCATTGTCGCCGCGTCGCGCCACTTGTCCGCCAAGGGCGGAGACTCGTTTTTGAATTTTGGGGGCACCCACTGAATCTCATTCTTTCGGCCCTTCAAGTCCTGCCACAGCATCAGATCAAAGTTCTCCCACTTGACCGGTACGACCCACGATCGCATTTCCATCCTCTTAACCGACGCGTTGACCATTCCCTCGATGAACGGAACTTTTGACAACTCATGCATGTGTTGGCGTTAAGATTGTCCACGATCACGTTTCGGGGGTAGCCAAAGTAGTTCTTGTTCGTTGGGTCCGAAGGCCGGGCCGGGACGTCCAGCTCCTCGCTCCGGTCGTGTGCGCCAAGGTCCTTCGTGCCGGGGTCCGTCATCCGCTTAGTGTCCATCATGCTCTGTTGCCACACCATGAAGTTCTTGTCGATGTAGGCGTGCGGCATCGAGGACGTGTCACCTTCCTCCGAGTGCGCTCCCCGTCCCAATTGCCGCGCTCGCCGCCGGCGCCGCCCGCAGGGAGCGCCGCGAGGGGGAGGCCGATGCGAACCGCGTCGGCAGCGCCGTCTGTCTGGGCGGTGCCTGTGTCGCCGGAGGAGAGCGACGCGGAGGAAGGAGGAGCCCGAGAAGCGCGCAAGTTGAGCGACGCACGACCGCGGCGCGGCCGCGCGTTTTCTTTCGCGCACTTTTAGTAAAGCCACGATATCGAGATGTCGCGCGCCGCTGCTCCCGCCGAGCTCTCGAGGGCCTTTCCCTTCCTGGCGCTGTACGAACGTGGGGACAGCAGGGCAAGTGGAGCAGGCCAGCGGAGCAGCAGGGTGAGCGGCGCGTTGGAGAGTGCCAGTGGAGGAGCAGCTGCTGAACATCCAGGCGCCGCACTAGCAGTGGCCATGGCGTTGCATCCGCGGCTTGGCGCCGAGAGCCCGCTGTCTGTCCTTTCCGACGACCTCCTACACCGCATCGTCCTCCTGGTCTCGCTGCAGTCTCCCTCACACCGCAGCCTCGCCGCCATCAACTGCCGCGCTGACTGGTGTATTCGTCAGCTCGACCTTCACTACATCACGAGCAAGGGCGTGCAGACCACCAGCCTGCGAGGCGGGAAGGGGTGCGTGGCAGAGCCTCTGCTGCTCGCTTGCGGGGAGCACGTCGTCCAAGCCCGTGGCTCTCACGGCGGGGGGCTTCTCTATTCCTTGCAGCTCGTCACCTCGCTTGGGCGTGCCGGCCCAATGTGGGGTGCGCACGACAGTGGCGGCAGGGCGTTCGAAATTCTGCCATTCGTTCCCAGCGATGAGTCCCTTCTCGACAGGCTGCCCGCCTGGCTGCGGGCGATGGGGCTGTCTGGCAACCGGGAGGATGGAATGGACATGCACGACGTGGCCGTGGATCTCGCGCACTCCTCCGTGGAGCACACCTCCCGGGGGCACTTCCAGCCACAGCCTCGCCTGCAGCTCCTCAAGGGTCAACCGGTGCTCGCTGCCTTTGTCGAGGCGCCCGGGCTGAATCGCGTCGCCAAGCAAACGGGCGGCGTCGGCCGCCTCGTCGGCATCGGCGCACACGCGCCACCGCCACAGCAGGGGGAACTTCTCCACCTACTGTACCAAAAGGAGTTCGAGGACCTGCACGCCCGTGCGGCCACAGGGCGGCTGTCGTCGGACCAGGGTCTCGCGCGCAAGCTCATCGCCCGGCTCAGCTTTCGCCGGTCGCAATGATCGAGTAGCCTCCAGCCCATCCACGTCGGGCGGGGCGAACGGAACAGTGCTATCAGCAGCAACGCGCTTTTTGTTTTACTTTTGCAGCCCTGTCGGACCTGTCGAGGGGCCCTGCTAAGAGTTCTTTTAGTGCCAGTGCGCGCCAGTCCCGTGCCCAGTGTTGTGCCAGAATGTTTGTTTAAATTCTTTTAGTGCCGTGCCCATTCTTCGTTGTCGACGATGTCGCACCGACACCAATCTCCGCTATTCTTGCTGCTCTCCGTGCTGGTTGCGCCAGGCTGCGCCTTCCAAGTGCTGAGGGCAGCACCGGCGCTGCCGCGAGCGGCTGCACTGCTCTCTGCGTCCAAGCCGGCGCTGCCTGCGGTCACCAAGGCGTACACGCTCAGCGGGCTGGCCACGGGCGCAGCCTGGACCGCCTGCTCGTGCGTCGCGCTGTCGTCGCATCCGAATGCGGCAATCGATGCCGTATGCGGCTTGCGCCACAACCTGCTCACCATCGCACAAGCCTACGCCCTGCCGCTCCCGCTGATCTGGGCGGTTGCCTCGGCGCTGCGCTCGGCGGCAGCCGCGGGCTGGGATCGGCTCTCCTCCGCCACGTACCGCCGCCTCAACCTGGCGCTTTTCACCAGCTCCGCCTGGCTGTGTGCCGCTGCCGTCTGCATGCCCGCCTTTGCATACGGCTACGACATGTACCCCGCAGCGCTCAAGGCGGCGGCGGGCGCGGCGCACGGGCTGACGGCGCTGCTGTGCGCGGGCGTGTGGGTGCGCACGGTTGAACCGACCCGCAGTGGACATTACATGCCCCGGCTCGTGCGCGGCCTCGCGGGCTCTCTCGCCACGCTCGCCCCCAAGAGCGCCTCCGACGACCCGGAGGCCGCCTCGAGCCGCGACGGACGGTCGGAGCTTGCGCTGTGCGCGGCGCTCTTCGCGTGGTTCGCCGTGCTGCCGGTCGTGTCGCCCTTCCCGATGGCGACCGTGCCCGCCATCCTCGGCAAGAGAATGAGCCGCGCCTACTCGGCGTGGACCTGGCGCGAGACACATAGCCGTCGCCGCATGCGCTCGCGCACGCGCCGGTCACTCGCCCAGCCCCTCTCTCCGCGCAGGCTCGCGGCCTGCGTCTGCTACGTGCTCAAGGACGCCGCCGAGCGCGGCCGCTCCTCGGCATCCACTTTTGCGACGCTGCGCAAGGGCCTCGCCGCGGGCAGCCTGGCGCACCTGCTCGTGGTGGCGCTCAAGTTGGTTGGCGTGGACGGCGGCGGGCTCCTCCTGCCGGGGCGCGGGCTTTGGACATTTTACGCAAACTTTGTTGCGGTGCCCTTCACGGCTGGCGCGTCGGTGGCGATGCACGCGCTGGCGGCGTTCGCGACGACTTGCTCGGAGGTGGGGGAAGAGAAGTGAACCGTAAAACACTGGAAAAGAGCGAGCCCAATCACCGGGTAGAGATACATAAACACATTGGACAGCATGCGGTCACTTCTCGGCACATTGACGGAGAGGTAGTGGGACCTGGGACATGTGCTTCCCCCCCCGCCGGGGCACGCGCCCCCGCGGACACGGCGCCAGACGGCGCCCTCTCCAACAAAAGTAGTGAATGTGTAATTTCGATAACACACGTGTGTTTCACTCTCACACTAATGTCTAATCGGCACACTACCTATGCCATGACTCATTCAATCATTGACTCATTCTCTCAGCAGTAGACAGGTACTCATACGGGCACACTACGTACCTAGGTGGTTCACAACCATGGTGCATGACTCATTCCGTCTGTACAGTCACCGTCTCTCTCTCTCTCAGAGCAGTAGACAGGTCCTCATACAGGGCGCACTCTCTGGAACACGGCGAGAACGCTAGAGCGGAAACACTCAGACAAAGAACAAGATCATTGGCGCAGGTGCACACCTCCCTCGTATTGAACACATTTTGGTGTCGATCTGGGTTGAGTTGACTCCGAGTCTCACCAGAATCGGGGCGCGAAGGGTTGCTTGAACATGCTCCACGCTCACTGCCGCTCAGGGGGGCGCCGATGGAAGTGTTGAACGGGGTGCCCACCTCAAAGCCCCCTGGAAAGTGGTCTTCAGCGCATCTGAACATCGGCGTCTTGGAGTCCCGCAGCTGTCCCTCCTGGTTCCCGACCACGACGGGCAGCGGGATGCTAGTCGCTTTGCGGTAGCTCTCGGCGACCTGGTAGGCGCCGCGCACGCCGTCGTCGAACATGATCGCAGCCTGCGCCGGCGTCTTTCCTGCTTTAATGTAGTTGATGGTCGCCGGCGCCCAGATGGCTGTGGCCCAGATGGCTGTGTCCTTGAATTCGTGGCACGCCCAGTTGTTGAAGGGAACGCGGGGGATGCTCTTCCAAAGCTTGCTGATCTCATTAAAGTTCGTCACCTTCTCAAAGATGCTAAACTGCGTCGGCCGAAGCATGCAGAGGGCGAGCCTGTCGAAATTGGTTGTAGACGCACCATTGGCGCGGAAGACGTTCCCGGCAGCAGGCTGCATGTCGCTGGGAATTCCAGTCTGTGCTGCACGCTCAAGCAGTACTTCGTTGGATCTGACGCACTTGTTCTGGAAGCATTCCGGCACAAGTTCAGGGGGGAGAGACCGTTCCGAAGAGGTCCAGAAGAGCGAGACGGCCTGCTCTTTTGCATCCCCAAAACGGGTGGGTGGGTTGGCCCGCGGCGGTGGTCGCTAGACCATGCCCGCCCGCCTCGCCGATGAAGTAGCGACTCAAGGGCGGCCAGGACACATTGATCCAGTTCTCCCAGTAGTTCTCAGCGTTAGTTGTGTTGGGGCAGGCAGAAAGAAGGCCGTAACCTTCCCAGGCAGGCAGGTGTTCGTCCCCAGCGTAGAGTTGCAGTTGTCAGTCGCATGGATATTGTTGGCGTACCTGTGTAGTGCCACTGTGCGCTTGGAGCACTTGGAGTGCAGTCATTAACCTCACATCCAGGGCGCACTATAGCCAGGGCAGTCGGCAGTCGGAGAAGGGGCAACTCCGTGCACTGACGGTCGGCCGCCAGAAAACACGCCTGCGTGGATCGCGTCACACCAATCCTCGCTACCCAACGCGGCCAAAGGATATCCGCCTCAAGAACCTCGAGAGGGCGCACTAGTGTTCCTGCGCGGCTGGCAAATCTTTTTCGTGCCAGTGTGCTGTGAGAGAAGGTTCTTGGTAACAAATCTTTTTCGTAAAACGCGAGAGAGCGCCGCGCTTTCAGCCAGTCAACCGCCTGGGGGCCAGCCAGTCAACCGCCTGGGGGCCGGCAAAGCTTCAGCGACAACATGGAACGCCACATGGTATCTAGCCACCACCCAAGGGGCTCGCGCGTACGCGTCTGGTATGCGACGACGACGGACATGGCGGAAGCTCGCACGGGCGTGGTGTCGGCGGCGGAAGAAGCGGCCGAGGGTGGCTTCGTACGGATGTACGTCTCGTGGGACGGCATTGCCGACGGCGCGTGGGTGGATGGACGAGACGATTGGGAGTGGGATCGCAGCGGCGAGCCGCGGCTGGCCCCCGGATCGTGGCCCGGGCCGGGGTTCGTTCCCGGCGCGATTGAAAAGGTGCACGCTTGGCGGGAGGAGGAGGACACGCTGCTGGTCAAGTGGACTGGTCTCGCGCACATCCACTGCCAGTGGGTGCCGCGAGAGGCGCTCCTCCAGAACGAGAACAATATACGACGGGTATCACGTTACCTCCAGGAGCGGCGCGCCGCTGCCGCCTCCGCCGCCGCCTCGTCTGCCGCCTCCGGCTCCGCCGCCGCCTCCTCCTCCGCCAGCTCCGCGCGCCCGTACCCGGACGACTTTGAGCAGGTCGAGGCGGTGCTCTCTGAGGAGGTGAGCCCCCACGGCGCGCCATCGCAGTTTCTCGTCAAGTGGCGCGGCCTGCCTCACAGCGCGGCCACCTGGGAGGACGCCTCTGCGCTGGCGTCAGAGTGGGGCGCGGTGGAGCAGCTTCGGCAGCGCGAGGCTGCCGCGCGCGCCGCCACCGCCGCGACGAGAGGTCCGCCCGACCGCGGCAGCTGGGCGTACCAGAAGCTGGCGGCGCCCTCCCTGCCTGGCGGCCGGCTGAGGGAGTACCAGCTCGAGGGCGTCAACTGGCTTCTCTACTCGTGGCACGCGCGGCGCAACGTGCTGCTGGCGGACGAGATGGGTCTCGGCAAGACGGCGCAGAGCGTAGCGCTGCTCGGCGAGCTGCGCCGCCTCGGCGTGCAAGGCCCCTTCCTCGTGGTCGCGCCTCTCTCGACGCTGGAGCACTGGCAGCGCGAGGTGGGTGCTGAACAACACACACACACACATCCCTTCTGCAAACTCCCAGGGCACGCATCGGGCGGCTCCACTGTACTCAAGCCGTGCTCACTGCGTTCGTAGCTCCTTGCTCACGCGCTTGAGTACACCGCACGAGGCCGAGCCCCCTCAGCCCCACCGTGCTGACGCCCCCAGGTGGAGCGGTGGACCGGCCTCACCGCGCTGCTCTACCACGGGGACCGCGAGTCGCGCGCGGTGATGCGGCAGCACGCGTGGCGCTGCTCCGAGCCGGGACCGCCGACCTCGGGACGCCGGCCGCCCAAGCGCCTCTCGGGGCTGCTGCGGCGGTGCGGCAAGTGCGACGAGTGCGCGCGGACGGCGGCTTGCGGCGAGTGCCGCGGCTGCAGCCGTCTTGCGGGCGGCGAGCAGGCGCGGGCGGCGGAGGCGGAGCTGCTGACCGGGCCGGCTCCGCAGCCGGGCCAGGCCGCGCCGCCGCGCAGCGAGGAGGCGGCGCACGGGGCGGGGTCGGACCCGACGCCGGAGGACGGTCCGGCGGCGAGACGGGCGAGGTGCGAGCTCTGCCGCTGCGCGTGCTCGAGCGACCTCGCGACCATCCGGAGGCAGGAGTGGGTGACGGCGCAGCAGCACTCGCCGCCGCACCAGCCGGACGACGACTCGCCGCTTTCTCGCCGCTCGAGCGCGGTGTGGGGCGGCGCGGGTGCGGCGTTGTCGCGCGAGGCGGCGCCCCCCCCAGCGCTGCCGGGAGAGGTAACGGGAGACGAGTCGTCGGAGTCGGAGGTGGAGGCGGAGGTGGAGCGGCCGACACTCTTTGACCTCGCCGACCTCGCCGCCGCTGCCGTGCCAGCGGCGAGCGAGGGGGGCGCGCCGCCGCAGCTGACCCTACCGCCACCGCCGCCGCCTCACGCTGCCATGCTGTCATCAGCCGCCGCTGTCCCTGTTGGCGTGCATGTGGCCGTGCCCGTCCGCGGCACACACTCCGCCCCTGTCCTCGCGGGCCTGCAGGGCGGCGGCGGCGAGGCGCTCGTGCGGCGGAAGAAGAAGATGCGGTGCGGCGAGTGCGAGGCGTGCGTGGCGCCAAACTGCGGCGAGTGCCGCTTCTGCCTCGACATGCCCAAGTTCGGGGGCGTCGGGACTCTGCGTCAGCCTTGCCTGCAGCGCCGCTGCACGAAGGCGCACCCAGCCTCGGTGGCCGCCGCTTCGTCCTCGGCGCCGCGCTCCGTCACGGTGCTCCCATCGGTCCCGCCGGCGCTGCTCGGCGCCCCTCCTGTCGTCGCGCGGCCCGTGAGAGCCGCTGGCGAGTCGAGCTCTCCCCCGGCGACCAACGAGGCTGCGTTTCTTTCTCGACGCGACGGGAGGGCGCGAGATCAGCCGAGGTGACCCGAGATTGGCGCCGAGACGTAGGCACCGCTCAAGTTCGACGTGCTGGTGGTGTCGTACGAGACGTTGCGCGACGACTTCTCGCTCGGCTTCAAGCAGATAAGCTGGGCGTACATGGTGGTGGACGAGGCGCACCGGCTCAAGAACCCGGCCTCGTCCGTTGCCAAGCTGCTGCGCGCCGTCTCCGTCGACCACATGCACTTGCTCACGGGCACGCCCCTCCAGAACACGACGACGGAGCTGTGGGCGCGGCTCGGCGCGGACCCGCGTGAGGCGGCACGAGGATGCGCGAGACCAGCCGAGGTTGGCCGAGACGTAGGCGCTGCTCAATTTCCTGGACCCGCAGGGTTTCGCGTCCCTCCCCGCCTTTTTGGGCGAGTACGGCGCCCTCACCGACGCGGCGCAGGTCGAGGCGCTGCACGCGAAGGTTGCGCCGCTCCTGCTGCGGCGGCGCAAGGCGGACGTCGAGGAGGGCCTCGCGCCGCTGGAGGAGAGCCACCGTCGGGTCGAGCGGAGCGTGACAGGATGCCACCAGCGTGACAGTCCACTGCTCGCCAATAGGAGACGATCGTGTGGGTCGAGCTCACACTCGCGCAGAAGCGGGTCTACCGCGCGATCCTCGAGGGGAAGCGCGAGCTGCTTGCCGGCAAGGGCGCGAGCCGCGCTTCGCTGCCGTCGCTCAACAACATCTATATGGAGCTGCGCAAGTGCTGCAACCACCCGTGGCTCATCAAGGGCGTGGAGGCGGAGCAGACGCGCGGCGTGGCCGATGGCGAGGCGCTGCAGCAGGCGCTGCTCTCGTCGTCGGGCAAGCTGGTGCGCCAACACACACGCTGGACGACACAGCGCATGAGCCACCGCCGACGTGAGCCACCGCCCCCAGGTGCTTCTCGACAAGCTGCTCCCAAAGCTGAAAGCGGAGGGCCACCGCGTGCTCATCTTCTCGCAGTTCACGACGACGCTGGACCACGTGCAGGACTTCCTCGCCTGGCGCGGCCACGCTCACGAGCGGCTCGACGGCACCACCAAGGCCGCCTTGCGGCAGGCAGCCATCGACCGCTTCTCCGACCCTGCCTCGGACTGCTTCGTCTTCCTCCTCTCGACGCGCGCCGGCGGCGTGGGCATCAACCTGACCGCCGCCGACACGGTCGTCCTCTTCGACAGCGACTGGAACCCGCAGAATGACGTGCAGGCGATGGCTCGCTCGCACCGGATCGGCCAGACCAAGCGCGTGCGCGTGTTTCGGCTCGTGGCGCGCAACACGTACGAGGCGGAGCTCGTGCAGAGCGCCAACCGCAAGCTGGGCCTCGAGCGCGCGCTTCGGCAGCAGGGCGGCAGCAGCGAGGCGGGCTGCTGGCTGCGGGACAGCGAGGGCGGCGACAAGGGGCCTCGGGATGCGGCGGAGCTGGAGCGGCTGCTGCGCGCCGGGGCGCGCGACATCTTTCTGAGCGACGAGCGCGGCGAGGACTTCCAGCGATTCGACGAGAGCGACATCGAGCAGATCCTCGCCGGCGGTACTTTGGTGCGGCACGACAGCGCCGCCGCCGGCGACGGCGACAGCCTCTTCTCGAAGGCGTCCTTCGTCGCCAACGCCGGCGAGGCGCGGCTCGACCTCGACGACCCCGACTTCTGGAGCAAGCTGCTGCAAGCGCAGCCGCCGCCCGAGGCGGCCGGCCCCGAATACGCCAAGCGGCAGCCGAAGCGGACGCGCCGGCTCGGGATGGTCGACCTTGACGCGGCGCTGGAGGACGTCGCGTCGAGCGGCGAGGAGGGGACGGACGAGGAGTGGGAGGCCGGGCAGGGCGAGGAGGGCACGGACGAGGAGGAGGACGACTACGCGTACGTCGCGGAGCGGCAGCCGAGGGCGGCCGCCGACACGTCGCCCGGGCGCGCATCCGCGTCGGCCTCACGCGAGGTGGCGAAAGTGGTGCGGGGGCTGGTCGCGCAGGTTGCCCGAGAGGTGAGGGCCGAGGCGCAGGTGGCGGCCGTGCTCGACTCGGTGATTGCGCGCGTGAGTCGGGCGGCCGACGCGAGGGAGAGGCTCGAGCGCGCGCTTCACGCGGACGAGCAGGCGCGCCGCAAGAGGGCGGCCGCCGAGGAGGCGCGGCGGCAGGAGTTTTCGCGGCAACTTCAGACGCTACACGCGGAGGCGAGGGCGCGGCGCGAGGAGGTGGCGAGATCAGCCGAGATCACCCGACATCGTCCGAGACTAGGCGAGGGCGCATGTGCAACGCAAGGAGGAGGCGCGGCGTGCCACGCAGGAGGAGCGGGAAAGCTTACTGCGCGGGGCGGAGGATTTGGCGCGGCGGCGGCGCGAGGCGGGCGAGGAGGCGGCACTAGCGCGGGCGGCGCAGGAGCAGCACCGGGCGGCGGAGCGCGCGGCGGAGAAGGCGAGCGAGGCGCAAATGCGGGCGCAGAAGCGGAGCATCCTCGAGTTGCGCACGGTGAGGCGGGCCCGGCTGATCGCGCTGATCACTGCGTCGTTCCACCACAACCGTTGCGAGGCGAGAGACGAGGTCGAGCTGTGCGAGAAGGCGGTGCCGGCGGCGAGGACCTTCGAGGAGGAGATCTGGAAAGCTGTCGACCGCCGGATCCTTGCGCCGAGCAGATTGGCGGCCAGTGCTGCGGCGTTGCGAGTGGGCGTGTACGAGCCGTCCGCGCTACAGAGCGCCCTGGCCGAGCACGGCAAGGCCTTAAACAAGGTCCTCGAGCGGCTGATCAGCCAGCTGCCCGCGGCTAAAGAGGGCGCGAGGGGACTGAACGTGCCCAACTTGCTCATGCACATCCGGCGCCAGCTAACGCTCGCGGCGCCGACACGGCCCGACGGCACGCTCCAAGAGGGGGCCGCCCGCAGCTGTGAGGCGCTGATGACGCTGCCCGGCTTTTCCGAGCGCGCTGTCGAGGCGTACACGGAGTGCTTCACCTCGGGCTGGCTGCCGCCCGCACTCTTCGCGCAGCTCCTCACGCACCACTTGCACGAGAGTGTGCCTGCGTTGCTGAGGCAGCCCTCGCACCGGCTCGAGTGGTGCTTGCTCGGCGTGCAGCAGGTGGCGCGCGCACTGCAGGGGGCGGCGGCCTCGCAGCGGAATGCGCGGCACGATTCGGGGGGCCGCAGCGGGATGCCGCCGCCACTGGTGCAAACGCCGTCGCAACCGCTGATGCCGCTGCCGCCGCAGCAGTTGCCGCCGCAGCAGCTGCCGCCGCCACCGCAGCTGCCGTCGCCGCAGTTATCCTTGCCGTCGCCGCAGCAGCTCCAGCACCAGCACCAGGCGTGGGCACGGCAGGTGCAGCAGCTCCGGCAGCAGCAGCGGCAGCAGGGCGGCACGTCGTCGAGCGGAGGTGTGGTACAGCAACAGCAGCAGGCGCGGCAGCAGCAGCGGCAGCAGGGCGGCGCGTCGTCGAGCGGAGGTGTGGTACAGCAACAGCAGCTGGCACGGCAGCAGCAGCGGCAGCAGGGCGGCGCGTCGTCGAGCGGAGGTGTGGTACAGCAACAGCAGCAGGCGCGGCAGCAGCAGCGGCAGCAGGGCGGCGCGTCGTCGAGCGGAGGTGTGGTACAGCAACAGCAGCAGGCGCGGCAGCAGCAGCGGCAGCAGGGCGGCGCGTCGTCGAGCGGAGGTGTGGTACAGCAACAGCAGCAGGCGCGGCAGCAGCAGCGGCAGCTCCACTGGCAGCAAGCACACGAGGCGCAGCAGCTGCTCGCACAGCAGAAGCGGGAACGGTCGCAGATGGCGCAACGGCACCAGCTGCAGCAGGTGTCAGAGCAGCGGCGGCTCGCCGAGCCACGGCCGCAGCGAGCCAGCGGCCGAGCCAGGCCGCAGCCGCGGCCGCGCCAGGCCATTGCGCAGGCTGTCGACGCCACGGGGCAAGAGGAGTTGCTGTGGCGGAGCGCGCTCATCGCGCTCAAGTGCGAGCGGGATGGCACGCCCCCTCTAGTGCATCTCGTTGACTGGTAGCGAAAGTCCCATCAGGCTGCGCAATTTTCGCTACAGGCGTGCCTTCGCTCCTCGGCTTGGCGGCGCTCCAGTGCGCACGCTCAGTCACGGACATGAGCCGCTTGCCGCAGAAGTTCCAGGCGGGTGTCACCAAGATCCAGGGATGGGTGGAGCGGGCGCGGCGGAAGAAGGCGGAGGCGGAGGAGCGGAAGCTCCAGGCAGGCGCCGAGGAGGAGCCCCAGCCGTCTCAGCTGCAGCGCCGGCACTCCCACTCGGGAAGGTTCATGGGGTTCGAGCCTGCGGCGTCGGCGAGACTGCCCGATCGTGCGAGCCACACCAACGACGCCGGGCGCTCTGCCACGCCGTTGAGGCCGCCAAGGCCCAGGGCGCCGTCGCCGCTGCCGCCGCCGCCGCCGCCATCGCACGGCAACATCGGTGTTTCACCTGATCAGTTGGGCCAGCTGCTGAGAGGAGCGGCCAAGCCGACCGGACGGGGTGAACACACCATCGCGGTGGCAGAGGCGGCTCAATCGAAGGCGGCCGCGGTGGCGGTGGAGGCGGAGGTGGGGGCAGCCTCAGCGCACCAGGCCAAGGCTCGCCTGCCCTCTCGCGGCTGGGGCGAATGCGATGTCGATGAGGGGCACGCCATCTTTGCCAAGCGCGCGCGCACGGCGGTGCACCGCCTCGGCCACAACGACAGCTGGTCGGAGGGCAGCGCCTCCCGCTGGACGTCTTCGACGACGGGCGCAGCTGGGCCCGCGCCCGACCAGCCGCCGCCGGAGCAGCGGCCACGGTCGCAGCCGGCCGGGAGCCTCGTGGAGGGCCTCGAGTACGCGCAGGTGCGGCTGCGGCTCCGCGGCGCAAAGCGCGCGCGGCAGCTCAGCGAGGCGCTCACCAGGCGCAACTCCGGGCCGGCCGTCGTGGGCGAAGAGGTCGTCGGCCGATCGATCGAGGTTTACTGGCCGCTGGACGCCTCGTGGTACGCAGCGCAGGTCATCTGCTCCAAGTCCAACGGGAGGCACCAGCTTCTTTACTCCGATGGCACGCGCGAGACCGTGCAGCTCGCCAAGGAGCGGTGGCGCTGGCTGCAGGAGGCGGCGGCTGCTCCTCCCGGCGAGGGCACGGCTATGAGCCGGCGCGACAGCGTCGAGTCCGCGAGCAATGATGCGGACGAGGCGACTGCGGGGGCTGCTTCGCCGCCCCTTCCTCGGACATCGCCGCCTCCCTCGGAGCCGCAGAGGTCGCCGTCGCCGCCTCCAGCCACCCCGCCACCCGTGGAGCCGCCCGCGACCCCGTCGCCGCTGCGATCGAACCTCCCGCCACCCTCGCCGCTGGGACAGGGCGCCGCTGCAGCGCTTGGCGCTAGTCTCCTCGGCCAGCCGGGCGTGGCGCTCGAGGCGGCTGTGCAGGAGGAGGAGGCGGGCGTTCGGGCTGCGGGGCTGAAGCGGCCGGCATCACCTCTCCAGCGGCCGAGGCCGAAGCGGTCGAGCGGCGACCTCTCACCCACCACGACAACCAACCAACCGTGCGATGGGGCCTTGTCGGTGCCCCCTCCTCCCATCGCCGAGCCGGTCACGACGCCGCCGCCGCCGCCGCTCGCGCCGACCGCTGTGCCGCCTCCTGGCGACGGCGAGGACTCTTCCTCGGAGGACGACTTGCCGCTCTCTCGCCGCTCGAGCGCGGTGTGGGGCGGCGCGGGCACGGCGTCGTCGCGCGAGGCGGCGCCCCCCCCAGCGCTGCCGGAAGCAGCGCCGTCGCAGATGCCGCAGCCTCCCGCTGCTCCACCGCCGCCTCCTGTGCCAGAACCCGCCACACTTTCCACGGACTCCGGCACCGTGGCCACGGTGCCGCAGTGGCAACCACAGCGCCGCATCTTCCTTGATGATGACGACGACTCGGAGGAGGAAAAGGAGGAGGAGGCGCCGGCGCCGCCGCAGCCACAGCCGCCGCCGCCATCGCAGCCGAAGGAGGAGGAGGAGGAGGCGCCGCCGCAGCCACAGCCGCCGCCGCCATCGCAGCCGAAGGAGGAGGAGGAGGCGCCGGCGCCGCCGCAGCCACAGCCGCCGCCGCCATCGCAGCCGAAGGAGGAGGAGGAGGCGCCGGCGCCGCCGCAGCCACAGCCGCCGCCGCCATCGCAGCCGAAGGAGGAGGAGGAGGCGCCGGCGCCGCCGCAGCCACAGCCGCCGCCGCCATCGCAGCCGACGGAGGAGGAGGAGGAGGCGCCGCCGCCGCCGCAGCCACAGCCGCCGCCGCCATCGGAGCCGGAGGAGGAGGAGGAGGAGGCGCCGGCGCCGTCGCAGCCACAGCCGCCGCCATCACAGCCGCCGCCAAAATCGCTGCACGACGACGACTCGGAGGAAGACGATCTGCCCTTGTCCTCGCGACCGGTGAAGGGGCCGCGGCCGCAGCCGCAGTCGCCACCGCCGCCACAGTCATCGCCACAGTCGCGACCGCCGCAGCCGCAGCCCTCGCCGCGCCAAGACGACGACTCCGAGGACGACGACATGCCCTTGTCCTCGCGATTGGTTGCGGCGTCGAGAAGCGCGGCAGGCGAAGGTGAAGCTGCGCCGCACGCGGCGGCGGAGGACCAGCCACAGCGCCGCATCTTCGACGACGACGACGACGACGACGACATTGTCGTCTCCGATTCGGAAGAGGAGGTGGAGTGCGCGGATGCGTGAGAAGGGACTCTCTGTGGCGGCGGCGGCGGCGGCGGCGGCGATCGGTACGGCTTTCCCCGCGGGTACAGAGCCCTGCGCATCCCCCCGGGGGGATGGGGCAACAATTACATAGAGTACATGGCTCGGGTACCCCCTACAGTGTAGTGGGTGTAAGCACACAAAAAGTACTAGCAGAAGAGAAAAATAAAGAAAACAGACAACCCAAGCGCCAAGGGGGAGGGATGGGAGACAGTTGGGAGCAGGGACGGGGAACACCGCTCTGACCGAACACTCTCAACAGGTCAGAGCCACCACTGCGCACTGGCCACTGGGGCACTGCACAGACAGCCCTGCTCTCCCGAGACCCGACGGGGACGCCACCACCCTCGCCCAAAGATCTACAATGCTGTCTTAAAAGGTCCGACCTTGCGGGAACCGCCTGCGCTCGCGGCACCGGGCACCGACTCGCGGTATGTTAAATGCGCCTGCGGGCGGTCCCTCACGGCAGCCTCGTGTCGGTGACGCTCGAGGTCTGCTGGGAAACTGTCAACGCACACGACCCTGGGCCGGAGGTACGTTTTCTTCTATCTTCCTGGACAAGAAGAATTCGCGTCCCCCGGCAACTAGACGCTCTCCACAGAAGGTCGAGACCGGCTCTGTTCCAAAGAGACGTCCACAAACCAACGCCCGCACCACCACCGCCGCCACCACCGCACAAACACACTCCCCACCCTCGAGGCTCTCCCCTCTTCCCACCCACGCCGGCCCGTCGGCCGCGTGCCGACGACCGACGCTCCACCGACCCTTTCGGCGCAGAGACACAATGGCAACCACCGTCCGCGCCGACCAGCTGCAGACGCCCGCGCACAACCCCGGCGCAAGCGACGAGACGATCTGGTCGCCGATCGACACGCTCGAGTCCGTCGGGATCCAGCGAGGCGACATCAAGAAGTTCCAGGAGGCGGGCTACCACACGGCCGACTCAATCTTGATGACCTCCGCACGGCACCTCGAGCGGATCAAGGGCCTATCCGAGGCCAAGGTGCTCAAGGCGCAGGACAGCGCCGGGAAGGTCTGCAGAAGGCTGGGCTTCCAGTCGGCCCGCGCGGTGCGGGAGAAGCGGCAGTCGGACGTCTTCCACATTACGACCGGCAGCACGGAGCTGGACAACCTTCTCAAGGGCGGCATCGAGACGGGCGTCGTCACGGAGATCGTGGGCGAGTTCCGCACCGGAAAGACGCAGCTCGCGATGACGCTCGCGGTGACGAGCCTCATGGCGCAAGAGCAGGCACGCGCCACGCCTCGTGCCCCCTCCCCCCGCCTCCCTCCACATCTCCGGGCGTCGCGCCGCTCGCAGGGCGGCGGCAACGGTGCGGTCCTCTACCTGGACTCTGAAAACGCCTTCTCGGACGAGCGACTCGCAGAGATTGCCGACCGGTTCGGCGTAGATCGCGATCTGGCCGACGAGAACGTCTTCGTGCACAACATCTACAACGAGGACAACTTCGAGCCTGCCTTCAAAGAGGCCAAGCGGATGATCGCCGAGCAGCAGGCGAGAGGGCGTGTCGGCCGGGGGGCCAGGCCAGTGCCCCACTGCCCTCCGCGCCGCGTAGGTGTCGCTCGTCATCGTCGACTCCGTCATGAGTGTGCTGCGGAACGAGTACCAGGGACGAGGCGAGCTCTCGGCACGGCAGCAGAAGCTCTCCCAGATCCTCTACTCGATCAAGCGGATGGCGCAAGAATTCAACATCGCGGTTGTCTTGACAAACCAGATGTGCGCGGATCCCGGGTGCACTTTCACGAACGACGCCAAGAAGGCTGTTGGCGGACATGTTCTCGCCCACCTGGTCAACCTTCGCCTCTACCTGCGCAAGGGCCGCGGCGAACAGCGCATTGCCCGCATCGACAAGTCGTGCAAGCATGCCCTTGGCGAAGCCACCTTCGAGCTCTCGGCCGGCGGCATCATGGACGTCGCTCAGTGATCGCATCACGGCGTCATGCACGGCGGGTGAAGCGCCACGCGATCATACCAAATGCGCAAGGCGGGAGACTCTCTGTGTGCGGAGCGAGGGCTTTGCGCTGTCTATGGTGCGCTCACACGCGTGCAGGGGCGTGCTGCGGCCTGCGGCCTGCGCGGACCGCCAAACTATGTCTCCGCGCTCCGGTGAGGACTGAAGTCACTCGCGGCTCTACGTATATCGGGGCGGTGTGTCGCGTGTCGCGGGGGAGGCCCCCCGCGGGGTATTCGTCTCGTCGACCCTCGAGCCTCGTGTGAATCAGTCTGTGTCCCCCCGCCGGGCCCCGGGCGGTATGCTGTATCACACGCGCGGCGGACTCGCGCACCGTCCACTCGTGATGACTCGACTCGAGGTCGGAGAAACGAGGCGGACCAGCCACAGAAATATGGTGTGCGTCTCGTGCACACAGCAGCTCTCTCCTGTCTCCTGACTCCTTCCTCTCTCAAGATACCAGGGAGCGCGATCTCCGCTCTCCCCAACCGCGGCTCAAATGAGACTCGTCCGCACACGTACGAACCCGCGCGGCGCGTCACCCGCTTGTCCACGACTTCTCGCCGCGGCACGCGAGCGGCGCCACCGCCTGCAGCATGAAGCTGTCGATGTCGGCCCTGCGCGGCCTTCCGTCCCCAAGGAAGACCTGCCCAACGTGCTGGAAATCTGCGGGCCGGCGCGTCGGGAAGGGGCGCGAGCCCGCGTACTTTTCGCACGTGTACGCGTCGTGCGAGAGCTGCGACGCCTGCACGCCCGGCCAGACTTTCTCGTTGAGAAAGTCTAGATCGCCTGTACCACCGGGATGCGGGCGCGGTGAGGCGGCGCCGCTCGCGCCGGGGGTGGCGAGAGAGAGGGGAGGAAGGGAGGAGGGCGGTCTCTCTCACCCATGTACTTGTCCCGGTTGGACCAGCCCCGCACCAGCGCCTCCATGTCCGGCACCGCCCCGTTGACGCCGCCCCACATGCCGCCGTTGAGCGGTCGGTCGTGGTTGGGGTGGTCGCGCAGCGAGTGGACCCTCTTGCCGCTGCCGACCCACTCCTCCACCGCCAGCCTGCCGGAGGGGGGGTTGCGGGGTGGTTGGTAGGGAAGGGCGTGTGGGGGAGACACCGGGGAGTCGCGGGCAGGGGAAGTCGCGGGCAAGGCGGAGGGCGCCTCTCTCTCGGGTTGAGCCGCGAGTCCGAGTCGCGAATAATGTACCGGTCCACCGCCGGGTCGGAGGCGACGAGGAAGCGCCAGAACATGCCCCCGATGCCGCCCCCCATGCCCGAGCCCTGGCCCATCCGCACCAGCTCCACGCGCAGCGCCGCCAGCGCCGCCAGCACCGGCTGCGGCACCGAGTCGTCGTGGTAGACCCGCACCCTCCACCCCGGGTACACGTCGGGGGCGAGCTGGGCGTTGCGGATCACGCCGACCGTGTAGCGCTCGCTCGAGCCGTACAAGCCGTACGAGACCACGCGGGCCTGTCGGCAGGCACGCTGCGAGTGAAGGCGACTGGGCCTGCGACCCTCGAGCTCGCTGCACCTGGGGCTGATGCAAGCAAGGGGGCGGCGTGTCGGGGCGGGATGGGATGTGAACCCTCCGCCGGGAGGGGTGGGGTGGTGGTGGTGGTGGTGGTGGGGGGGGGGGGACCTCGTTGGAGGCGGCGAGGCTCGACACGCGGAGGAGCGACGCGTGCGTCAACGCCCGCGCGGCGGCGTCGGCCGCGGCCTCGCGCTCGAGCGCCCTCCGCACGTCAGCGAGGCTGAGGGGGCGGAGCTGCATCCTGCGGCAGGAAGCACGCGGGTGGTGTTCTTGGCCTCGCGTGGGCACGCGGGCTGCGGGGCCCCGCTGGCTCGAGCGTGTGTGTGCGATGGAGCACGGCAGCACGGACGCGCGTCCTCGGGTGCCCAGTCGGGCCTCTGCGCACTCTCTGCTCCCCCCGATCCGGAGAGCTGGTATCTAGGAGCTGCAGCCTCGCCGTCGGCACTGCGCCGGCCGGGCGGCCCGACTCGGCGTGGCCCCGCAGCAAGTTTGCGCCGCGCAGGTTGAGGTGGCATCTGCACTGCGGGTTGCGCAGATACGTACCGTTGCGTCGCAGGCGCACCTGCACTCGGGTGGGGCTTGGGTAGGAGGGGGGCGTGCGGCTCAAACTTGGACGAGAGAGAGAGAGAGAGAGAGAGAGAGAGAGAGAGAGAGAGAGAGAGAGAGAGAGAGAGAGAGAGAGAGAGAGAGAGAGAGCGAGTGGGTGTGTAGCGAATGAGTCAGCGAGTGCCAGCAGTAGCGAATGAGTCAGTGAGTCAGTGAGTGCGCGAGTGTGTGCTGTGTGTGCCCGTGTGCCCGTCTCCCTCCCCCGTCTCCCTCCCCGTCTCCCTCCCCGTCTCCCTCCCCGTCTGCCTCTGTCAGTGTCCGGCGCACCTCGAACTCCTCCGCAGCGCCAACCGAAGCCGACCAGAGACGGACGACCCACGCGGGCGACTCTGAACGTGGCACCACCTGCAAGTAGCGACCGCTCGCCACACTGCGCAGCGCGGCTCGCGCGCCGCCGCTCCTGCCGCCGCTCCTGCCGCCGCCGCCGCCGCCGCCGCCTCCTCCTGCTCCTGCTCCTGCTCCTGCTCCGAGCTCCTCACGCGCAAACAGCACATCGCGCAGTGCCGTCGGCGGTGGGAAGACGCGCTCTCCGCCCGCGCCACCTGCGCCGCCCTCGCCGCCCTCGCCGCCCTCGCCGCCCTCGCCGCCCTCGCTCGGCAGCGTGCCGGTGCAGCCGAGCCAGACGCCGCTCTCTCCGTCCGGCTGGCTGCTGTCTGGCGCGAGGAGAAGGCCGTTGCCGCGGCACGACAGGGTCAGCAACTGGTGGCCGCGGGAGGCGGCAGCAGTGGCGGCCGTTACAAACGCCTCCGCCTCCGCCTCCGCCGCCGCCGCCGCCGCCGCCACCGCCGCCGCTGCTGCCGGAGACGACACCAGCAGTTCCTCGTTCCTGCGGGCGACGTCAACGGCAGCTCGCAGCGCGACGCCAGGGCCCGCCTCTGGGGCCGCGACGGCGGCTGCCCTGGGCGCCGCGGTCAGAGCCTGCAGCGGCGGGGGCTCATCCAGCCGCGTCCGGCCAGCCATACGGACACGTGCGGCCGTGCCCTCTGCATGGCGCATGCCCTCGGCCGGCGCCTCGGACGCTCCCACCATGCCTGGTGCCGTGTCGGACGGGGTCCAGCCGGGTCCGCCGCGCTCGGCCTCGTCGACACACGCGCCGAGGCGGGACCGCACGGCTGCGCGGGTCGCACGCTTGCGCAGCAGGCACTGCACCATGCGCTGCTCAGTGTGCGGCACGAGCTGTGCGAGCGCCGCGGCATCGGCGAGTGCCCGGGCGTCGGCCGGGCTGGAGGCGGTGCACGCGGAGCAGGCGGAGGCGGAGGCCGCTGCGGCGAGCCTGCCGTGGAGGAACGCGACCGCGTACACCACGAGCGCCGCGAGCGCAGCGGCCGCTGTCAATCGCATCGCGGGAATACCCCTGGCTTGGGTCGGTTGTGCATCCCTCCGGGGGCCCTCTCGGCGCCGGGGAGGCGTTGTTGGAGGCTAGGACGCAAGCGTCCGTCGCCTTTTTCAAACTCGGGGCCCACTCCGCTACGCTCCGACCCGAATTTGGAGGGCCTGAAAGTTTTAAGGTGTTGCTGCGCAAAAGGGGTCGGACACAGGGCGCAACTCATGCTAAGAGCCAGAAGGGAGCTGGAGAGAACGGCTACCCTGTCCCGTTATTGCGTACACCAACACCACAAAAGCTCTCTCTCTCCGGTCCTCACTCAGGGGGGTCACAACTACCAAGTCCCTCGACTAGCTGCCACGTTGCCGACCGAGAGCGGATCTCCACCTGCTCCGCAAGGAGGGTGGCCAAGGCTAAAGTCTTGCCGGAGCCGCCGGGCGCGTTGACGACTTGGAGAAGGTCGCCCTTGCACTTGTACTTGTAGAGATGCTCGAGGGGGTGCTTTGTGGGGCGGTGCGCAGCCAGGCCAGCAGTGAGGGGAGGCGCACCCTCACTCTCCTCGGTTGCAGAGCTCGTCGGAGGCTGCGGCACGACGGGAGGGTCGCGATAGCAGTCCTCGGGCGAGCCGACGCGCATGTCCAACCAGCGCTGGGACTCGTTGTGACGGCAGAAGCCGGCTGCCTCTCCAACCGCTTCTGCAGCGTCCTTCTTTGCCCGGTGCATGGGCTCGATCCGATTCCGCAGCGTGTCGTCCCCAGCGGCGGTGCTGCGCGGGAGGCGGCCGCGGGCACGCTGGGCTCGATCAGCGGCTTTCCCTCAGTTGCTCCGAAAGCACGGATTTGGCGTTCTGGGTTCAATTTTACGGATGTCTTGGCACCAGCTGAAGGCTTGCACGGCCCAGATCACGCAGTTCGTGCACGGTATTCGGATTTTGCTATTTGTTCGTGTGGGGGTATATCGCAGATTTGTCAATGGTACCGCGTCTGCGACGCGGGCGCCTTGCTTGCGGGCAGAGCCCTTAGCCACCCTTTATATCTTGCGCGGTCAACATATTTGTTATCTTTGTTGCATGCCAAAGGCGGGGTTGTCGGTGCTCGCGGAGTGCACAAAATCAATCAGTGTGATGGCGTCGAGCACTGGGATGCGGAGCGCGTGCCGCAGCGCGTCGGCGTACCCAGGGTACCCTCTCCGAGGAATTGGCTCTCTCGAGGGATCGCCGGGGCTCTGCTCCAAGAGACCTCGAGAGTGCGTGCGTGTGCCTCTACTCGCCAGGGCGGGCCCGTACCATGCGGAATCGACCCTATCCAGTGCTCAAGTCCTCAAGGGCGGGCCCGGGCTGGCGAATCGGCAGGAGAAGAATTGGAGGAACCCCTGCCCAGACGAGTACAGCTAAAGAGTACCCGGGGCTCCCCATGCGCGGGAGACCTCCCCGTGGGGGCCCGTGAACATCTTTAGCGGCTTGTGAGCCAGGAAAGGGGTTGGAATTGCAGCTGCGAAATTTACAACCCGAAAGCCGAAGCCCGTGGCATCGGGGGCCGCACCGCTATTCACGCAAAAGCACAAGAGCAAAAAAACTTTATCGCCCAGACGCCGACTCGGAGGCCGCACGTTCACGCAAAAACACAACCCCGGGCCAAGACGCACAAGCACAGAGAGTCGAAGGGAGAGAGAGACAGCGACGACAGTCACGGCGACGTGGTGTGTGGTGTGGTGAGAAACGCTGATGTCTGCCGCGGCAAATGCATGGGGGCGAGCAGCATGAGCACGAGTACGGCTCTAGCAAGTAGCATGAGCACCTCGAATGGCACTACATGTACATGCACATGCACATGTGCATGTGACTATATTCACGGTGGGGAATGAGCTGGGGAATGAGACGGAACCGGAGCCTGTGAGCATGTTGCTTGTTGGCGCGGTGAGAGCGTGCGTCTGGAACCTATCTGGACACTGGACCTACGGCTTTACGTACCACTGGACGGAACCCTGCTACATCCTACATGGCATATGTATTGGATCGAGAGTCGGCGAATCCGGACCGAAACGCAAAAGGCGGGAGAGTGATATTTTCATTCCCGTCCCGATTGCGGATTGGCCGAGATACGCGAGAGGGTGACAGATAGTGAGGTCGAACAAACCCGAAACCGGAAACCCTCCACAACATGTTCATGTACGGCTGTGCCTGTGGTCGCTGGTCCCACACCCACTGGTGTCCATCTCAGAGACCGCAGGAGGTCATGAGGGTCGATGGGAGTGCCAACCCAACAATGCCTAATAACCCAGCCCAGTACAAATGTGCAGCCAGGTGCATAGTATCACACCGGTCCCTCCCCCCCCCGAATAAATCTCTGTCAGCCCTCAGAGACCCTGTACAAATCTATCACAGCTCAGACGTCCAGCTCGTGACTAGTGTTGAAACTGAATGGGGCTAGTGACGTCACGGGTTTGGTGAGCTGGGGGCTCCCCGGACTGATTGCCACCACCTCCTGCCGCCGGGGAGCCGCCGGGCTCGCCGCACGCCCCGCTGCCTGCCGTTGTCGTTGCGCGTTCAAGGCCCTAAGATTCGCCGCCGTGAGCCCGACCACCGCCGGCGGCCGCGCCGGCGGCCGCGCCGGCGGCCGCGCTGCCGGCCCCGCGCGCCAAACTCGCATCGCGACGACGCGCGAGCTCCCACGCAAAAGCGCCGCCGCCGCGTTCGGCTCAACCACGGAGGTCCCGTTCACCTCGAAGATCACGTCGCCGACGCGCAATCGTCCCGAGGTGCAGCCGACGCCTCGCGGGTCGAGAGCGACGACGCGCACGCCTCGCCTGTCGACGTCGGCCTCGAGCTCCACGCCGAGTGGCGATGTGCGCGTCGGCTTCTTGAGCTCGAGTGCCACGCAGACGGCACCGTCGCCTCGAGTGCCACTGCCGCCGCCGCCGGGCCGCTTGGCGGACGGAGAGGACGACGGCACGCGATCGTACAAAGAGCGACGGCTGCCGCCTCTACTGCCGCCTCTGCTGCCGCGTCCGCTGCCGCCTCTGCCGCCGCCGCCACCGCCCGGACCGCCGCCTCTGCCCTTACTGCTACCGCCCGCCGACTGCGTGCGAGCTATTTGTCTCCGCTTCTCCCGCGCGGCGCGGTTAGCGAGCCGCGACAAGCGCCGCTTCCGCCGCCGGGTCATCCAGATGGCTAGAGAGGCCAGCAGCAGGAGAGTCACGCCGCCAGCAATCGCGCCTGGAGGGGTGAGAGGTGGAATGGGTGAGGGGCGGGGGGGGGAGTGAGATATGCGCAATACGCGGCGCCATCGGCGTGTACGGCCTAGGCCCCCGCCCAATGGCTGTTCGGCTCTGCGGGCGACGGGCGAGGGGCCGGTGGCGCACAGCGAGGCTGCGACGCGCGCACGCTGGCGACCCAATCGAGGCTCATCTCTCGGCCCCACTCGGCTCATCTCGGCTAGGGTCTCGCACCGACGACAGCCCAATCTTGGCGAACCGCCTCCCCGTCCAGCATCGGCGGCGGCGGCGAGGGCGGCGGCGAGGGCGGCGGCGAGGAAGGCAGCGGCGGCAGAGGCGGCGGAGAGGGCGGTGTCGGCGGCAGCAGCGGCGAGGGAGGCGGAGGGGGTCGGGTAGGCGTCCCCTCGGGTACAGCCGGGGGGTAGAGAGGCGCGGGGCTCGTCGGAGGCGCGGGCGGCCGAGCGACTAGCGTCAGCACGAGGCCGCCAGGAAAGACCGGCGTGTCTTTAGCGCCCACGGCAACGGTCCGGACGGCCGGCGCGGCTAGCGGGTTGGCCGCCGCGTCGGTCTCTGGTAGCACCTCCGCCAGCGAGGAGCCGAGCCCGGGCGAAGCCTCGCCGCTGGGGGCAGAGGCAGGGAAGGGGGGAGGAGGGGGGGGTGTCAGATTCGGTGTGCGCGAGCATGTTAGCAGCCGTGCAATCGGGGGGGGGGGGGGGGGGGAGGCGGACCCCTCCGGCGGCGGGAGAAAAACCGAACTCCTCACACGCCCGTCCCGTCCCAAGGGGGCGACTGCAGGTCCAAGACGAAGACGGCGCCGATCCCTTCGACGCCCACGAGAAGCTCCTCGCGCCTGCAGGGGGCGGCTCCGAGAAGGCTCAGGGGGAAAGCTCGAGCTGCGACATGGACACGGCCTGCGGCCCGCCCCGAGACTCACCCGTCGTAGTTGGCGTCGAGCATCGCGGCGAGCGACGAGCCGAAGTGAGGGCTGCGCCCCGAGGACTGGGGCGGCATCGGCCGCGCGGCCTCGACACCTAGTAAGAGGCCCCGAGAAGGGCTTCGAGCAGGCTCCGAGGCACGGTCGCGCCCCTCCCAGGTCCGAGGGCGGAGGCGGTGCGCTGGCGTGTGATGGAGGGTGGCGGCGGCGTGTGGACGGCGGAGCAGGGGCGAGGCGGCGGCGCGGGCGGCTCACTGTTCATGTCCACGGCGGCGGTCGAGACGACGGCGTCGGAGGAGTTGAGGGCAAAGAGCCAGACGGTGCCCTCGCCGAAGGACAGCCGCCGCCCGCCGACGGCGAGGGCCGGGACACCGCCGCCGAGCCTCACAAAAGCGAGCGACGCACCAAAGCTGTATGGCCGGCTGACCGGCTGCAGAGGTGGAGTCGCAGAGGTCGCGGCGTGCGAGGCGTTGAGCCTGAAGATCAGCACCTGTTGCCCCGCACACGAGCCGACGGCGAGCCGGTCCTCGCCGAGCGCCGCGAGGGAGCAGCCGAACCCGCCACCTGCTGCCACGGGTTGCAGGACGACGCGGTTCTTCTCCGCGACGACGGTGCCTCCGGCGCGAAGCTCGAGCTCGACGATAGAAACCCTCCCCGTCGGTTCCTCTGGACACGGCTCGCCAACCGCGACGACCGCTCGCCGCGGCCATTGCACCAGCGCCGCAACCGCCGACCCGAACAGGCATCCGGGATTCTCGCCAAAGAGACGTCCGGCTGAGGTTTTTAAACGGGACGAGTGAGCGATGTCGACCACGCCCGTCTTGCCGTTGTGCCGTGGTGCCCCGACCGCAATGAAGCCTGAGCCGAGCGAGGCCAGGGAGGCGGCGTAGCCGAGGAGCCGGGGCTCCGCCGAGAGCATTTTTTAGCGGGCTCGCCACCAAGACGCCGTGAGGGGGTACCCGGGTACATCTAATTTCGACTTTCTTTCCTGTTGCGAGCCAAGTAAGAAAGCGTGTACGAAACAAGAACACAACGCACTCTCTCACATGACAAGCGATCCCACGACAGCGATTGTGGGGACTACATGATCCGTACGTGAAGGGTGGGGCCCGTCCGCGGAGCTAGGCGGTACGGGCGCCCTCCACTGCGGCTGAGCGCAAGAAGCCGTCCGTCCGCCGTTTGCTTGTTCGTGACCCAGTTGGTGTGCGCATCTTGCGCGAAAAAGAAAGAAAGAACAGAAAGAAAACAGAGAACAAAGGAGGGATGGGAGGACGGCACGGCACACGCAGGGATTTAAGGAGAGGAGCGTTGTCGTGGTGCTAGCCGTCGCCCATCCTTGGGCGTCTGCCTCTTCCCATTTCGCAGTCTATAAATAAATAAAGCCGACATCCCAAGCTAGGGCTGGGTCGAGGACAGACACGTCCCCACCTTTGCAGGATTTTGCAAAAGCGAGGGGGGAGGGCGCATCGCCGCGCGGAGAGGGCTGGGCACAGGGCACAGGGGATCTCTCTCGCATAGGATGCACTCGGCGGCACGAGGGCAAGGCTGGGCGTCCTATATTTGTTTGTTTGTGCTCCCGGAACTGCCAGGAACTGCCAGGAACTGGAGGGTAATTCGAGTGAACTCGGTGTTACTTGTGCCCACTGCGCCTCACCTGGGCCACTCGCGAGCATGCGGGAGTCACCTGAAGCACGTCCAAAACTCGAAACACCCGTTCACCCCCGTATACTCGAAGTGGCTGTGAAATTTGGCTTGACTCTGAGGTGGATGGCCGAGAATTCCTTCACCCCCGCTGTTGCCGCCCTCGCTGTCGGTGCCGCGGTGCCTGTGGACGTGCTGGTTTAGCCACACAAATGGCGCTCTCCCCACCCGCCGGCACGTACGCCGTCCTCGGCCACATCGTCGACGCTCCGCAGCTCGACGTGGTGCGAGGTCTCGACGAGCCATCGCTTGTCGTCGTCTCTGGCAGCGGCGAGATCGAGTCGGTCCACCGCGCCGGCGCCGCCGACGCCGCGGCGTCGCTGGAGGCGTCGGGCGTGACCGTGATTCGGCTCGGCCAGCGCGACTTCCTCGTGCCGGGCTTCATCGACTGCCACGTCCACGCTTCGCAGTGGGCTTACATGGGGACGGGGATCGACCGACCGCTCATGGCGGACGACGGGTTTCTGGCAAAGTACGCCTTCCCGGCAGAGTCGGCGCTCAACGCCCAGACGGCGGGAGAGGTGTACCGCGCGGCGATCGACGACATGCTCCGAAACGGCACCACCACGGCACTCGTCTGGGGCTCCGCCCGTCTGGACGCCTCGGAGGAGTACGTCAAGGCGGTCGTCGAGCGGGGTGGTCCTCGCTCGCTGATCGGCAAGGTGAGCATGGACCGGCACTGCCCGGAGGGGTACGTCGAGACCACGGCGCAGTCGCTCGCCGACACCGAGGCCTTCGTGCTGCGCACCAAGGCGGCGAACGACGCACTCGGGCTGCCTGCCGGATCGCCGCCGCTCGTCGCGCCTGCGATCACGCCGCGCTTCCTGCCGACGTGCACCGCCGAGCTGCTGCGTGGGCTGGGCGCGCTGGCGGAGAAGCACGACTGCTTCGTCCAGAGCCACCTCTCCGAGTCGTGCGACGAGCTCGCCTTCTCGTCCTCCCTCTTCCCTGGCTTCCGCTCGGACGCGGCCGCCTTTGCCGCGTTCGGGCTGCTGCGGCGCCCGTCGCTCATGGCGCACTGCGTGCACCTGCAGCCGGGCGAGGCGGAGCTACTGCTGCAGCACGGCTGCGCGATGGCGCACTGCCCGACCTCGAACTTCTTCTTCGCGAAGGAGGCGCTGCCGGTGCGCCCCACCCCTGCGGACGACGACGCGGCTGGCGACGCGTCCGCGATGTGTCCGCGACGCGCCGCCCACCACGCCCCGGCGGATCCCCGCAGGTGCGCCAGATGCTGCAGCTCGGCGTCAAGGTCGGCCTGGGCACCGACGTGGCGGGAGGCTACTCGCCCGCCATGCTCGTCTCCTTGCGCCACGCCGTGCTCGCCTCCAAGACGCTCCAGTTCCGCCGCGCAAAGGGATGCGTCTTCCAGTGCGGCGTGGGCGCTGCCGGCGCGCTGTCGCCTCAGCGAGAGTGCCCTGTCCCGAGCGGCCAGCCGTCGAAGCGCGCGAGGGCGACGGCGGCGCGGACGGAGGGCTTCGGTGTCGACTTTGACCCCGCCGCCGACGAGGCGACGCTGCGCGACCGGCACAACCTCTCGCACACGGACGGGCTGCACCTTGCGACGCAGGCGGGCGCGGACGCTCTCGGCTTTGGCGGGAGTCTGGGCAGCTTCGACGCGGGCAAGCGCTTCGACGCGGTGGTGTGGGCCGCCGAGGGGCCAAACGTGCGCTGCTACCGCGGCGGCGTGGCAGAGGAGCCGAGCGACCTGCTGCACAAGCTGCTCACAAACGGCGACGATCGCAACATCAAGGCGGTCTACATTGGAGGGAGGCGGGTGGTGTAGGGGGTTGCGCGGGGATTTATTTGAGCGATCCACCCTAATTGCGCGGGTGTACCCTGGAGCGTCTCCCTGTGTACGGCTCTAGAGTTGTACTCTACACACCGCGCGCGCCAAGAGCGTGACAGCTGAGCCAGCCGAGCTCTACGGCTACGGTACCTAGGCTCTCGGCGGCGTCGCACCGTCGCAGACTCGCAAAAGTGCAAAGAGATCCCTCTCTGTGTCTCGCGCGCAGAGATCGCGCGCGAGACCCCCCGCCTCCTATACCCTTATAGCTGCACGCAATCTCCCTCAGATCGCCCACGCATTATCGCCGTGGAAAGCGTCCACCATATCCGTGTACGCGCGCATCGGCTCTTTACTGGAGCGCTTTTCGAGGCGCATGCAAAACGAGGCGCCGCAGCCGCAGTAGACGCGCCCGTTGGCGTCGAAAAAGTAGGGCGTGGTGCGGCGGCGGGTGGCGAGGGCGGTCTGCAGGTCGTACACCAGGATGCCCACGTTGGAGGAGAGGGAGCCAAAGAAGGACGAGCACTCGCCCATGAGGAGAATCTGCAGCACCAGCGCCATCCCCTCGTCCTTGAGCGCGCCGCTCTGCAGAAACGCCTCGGCCGCCGCCGGCCCCCTCTTGACCTCCTTCTCGTACTCGTCCTCGAGCAAGCCGTAGAGCTCTGCCAGCCGCGAGTTGCCCTGCTTGATGTTTTGAAAGGCCCTGCCCGCCGAAGAGTCCATCACAAAATGGCGCGCCGGGATGAAGTAGGTGGTCGCGGGCTCGAGCAGCGGCGGCATCGCCTCAAAGGTCGCCTAGGCCGACGAATCCATTGGTCACGGGCTGAGGGGCCGGCGGGAGCCGCGCGAGAGCTCGCCGAGTCTTCGGAGCCGAGCAGCACGCGCTGGTACCCGGTCTTTGGCGCGGTGCTGACCCAAAAGGCCCACGCGCGGTACGCGCGCGAGTAGACAGAGAAGTCACGCCTATCGAGGCAAGGGCCCGAGAAAGATCGTCGGCGGAGGAGTGGGCGCACGCAGCAGGCGAGGAGCGCGCGTCACGCTCGCGCGCGGGTCCTCCGTCTTCTTGTCCGTCCGCCTCACGTGCATCGCCGCGCAGCTCAAGTTCGCCGTCGGCGCCGTCGGCCACGCAGCGCGCGCCTGCGGCGAGGGTGCGATCAGCTGAACGTCACCGCCCACCTGCGAGTGTCCGGTCTCTCTCGTCAGTGACCTCTTCCGTTGCGACACTGACCAGCGGGGGCTGGCTATGACAGGGCGCGTGGCGCGCGCCGCGCCTCCCGCTTCAGGCGCGCGTCATCATGTCTCGGCTCATCTCGGCTTTATCTCGGCCATGTCTCGCCTCCCGCTTCAGGCGCGCGCGAGGCGTCCCGCCGCTCTGAGCAGAGGGGCCGCTCGCCTACATCTCGGCTGATCTCGGCTGATCTTCGAGGGGTCTCGAGGCGCCGTGCCGCCCTGGCCAGCGGCTCGCATTGCCGCGCCGCTCGAGCGTCGGCGCAACCGCGGCGCGGAACGCTCGCAGCTCTGCGTTTGGACGGAAGAGAAAAGCGGAGATCTGCGCGTGGTACCAAGCCATGCTGTGCACGCGCCGCAAGCCGGCCAGGCGGGAGAGGCGGCGGCGCGGCGTGTCTGTGCACCAGAGCACCTTTTCGAACTCTAGCGAGCCGTGCTCTGCGCCGCTCGCGGGCCGCATGCGGCAGAAGGAACTCGCCGGCCAGCCCCGGCCTCTGCTGGCGCCGGGACCCCGCGGCGAGCAAACCTGGACGAGTGGCGTGGAGGAGGGGTGGGTGAGGTCGAGACCAGAGCGCGTCTTTGAAGCGTCTCGCACCTCTGGGATGCTGTCCTCCTCACGCTCCCGCCCCTGCCGCTGCCGCAGGCTCCGCCGATTGAGTCTGCGGCCGTCCTCGACTGCGCCAGCCGGCTCGGCCGGCGCGGCAGGCGTGCCGCTGCGGTTGTTCCTCAGGTCGGGCGGCAGCGTGCAGTTGGTGATCGGCGCAAAGTAGCACCCGAACGAGCGTGATGGGCAGCGCAGCGGGTTGATGTAGTGCGAGGTGGGCCAGTGGAGGACGCGGCCGGGAGAGAGGAGTGCCGAAAGGAAGGACATCTTGAGAGCCACCATCTGCGAGCCCAGCCCGAGCGCGTAAAAGTACTGCCGAGGGTACTCCTCCCCCGCCTTGCCGCCCTGGCCTGGACGCAAGCCCGCCCACACCACCCGGCCCGCCGTGCCGCGGCAGTCGGCCGGGAACTGACGCCAACGGAGCCACGCTTGGAACGTCTCGGCGTCCTCGCTGGAGTCCATGACGATGGGGCAGAGCCCTATCCGATCGGCAGTGCTTCCGGCAGCCGGCGCTTGAGAAGTTGCGTTTGCAATTCTTTTTCAAGACCTCTCAGACAGCTCGCTGGCACTGATGGTAGGCACGGGACTGGCGCAAACTGGCACTAACACAAGTACACCCTGTCATTGATCATCCCTGAAAAAGAATTCAAGACGAAAGCCAAAGAAATAATAATACGATTCAACCGCGGAAGAGTCTCAACAACAACAACGAGTTGTTTGGTATTGCTAAAAATCTCTCTCGGAGTCTCTCGGTATGCGCTCAGACGTGGTGGTACTGCACCGGACTATAGTGGATCAGACGAGAGAGAGGGTAGGTACGCGGGAGCTCTTGACCCACCGATCGACCAATCAGGCAATCTCACCCGCTGAACCCCCATCCGAGTCTCCAACATTGACGCATCGTAGTGCTCGCGCGCGACCGCCATCCCCCCCCCCCGCGCCCGCCCCCGCGCCCGCCCACCCACACACCCCACCCTCGCCGCGCGCCGGGCGAGACCCTGCGCAGCCCAGCGCGCGGACGGCACCCAAATGCACAGATCAGTCGTCGTCGTCGTCGCTGCACTGCAGCCGGTCCCAGCGCGAGTAGTCGATGCCGGAAGTCCCGGCTGCTCCGCCCTGGCTCGGCGCTCCGCCTTGGCTCTGCGAGCGTGTGCGCGGGCCCTCCCTTGGCTCGGTCTCCTCCTCGGTCTCCTCCTCCTCCTCGCTGCTCTGCTTGCTTCCGTCGCTCTCGTCGTCCATTTCCTCGTCCTCGTCCTCGTCCTCGTCGTCGTCGTCGTCGTCGTCGTCGTCGTCGTTCGCCATGTGCAGCAGGGAGGGGTGCGTCTGTGCGAGGCTGTACAAGTCGTCGCCGTCGCCCTGGCCGCCGCTGTCGCGCCGCCCATACCTGCGCGCCACCGCCTCTGGCGTGCGGACGGCCCAGTGCGTGGCGAAGGTGGACGTGCCGGCCAGCATGCTCGCTCCTGGCAAGAGGAGCCAGGCAGGTGGGGAGGCGGACTGCGGGCGGGGACTGGCCGTGGTGTGTGTGTGTGTGTGTGCCGTGCCGAGAAGGAG